TTTTTTTTTGAAGGGAAGGGGTCAAGGCAACTGGAACTGTTACTTGTAGAGGCAGCAAATGGAGTAACCCCTGCTATTCAGGGCCTGAAAATATGTTCAGGGGTAATTACCCCTAGAATTCTAGGGGGGGGTATTTAACCCCTGGATTCTAGGGGGGGGGTATTTACCCCCAGGATTCTAGGGGGGGGTATTTACCCCCGGGATTCTAGGGGGGGGTATTTACCCCCAGGATTCTAGGGGGGGGTAAATAACCCCAATAACCCCCCTTATATCCGCCACTGGCCCTTCTACAAGGACATTTTTTCACGCCCCCGGAAACATTTTAACGCCTCACCGGGACATAAAAAATATATACATCCCCACTACACCGCACCGGGAGGGGGGGGAGTAAAACTTTAAAATGTTTATCTATATACCCCTGAAATTATTATATATTAAAGGGGCTGTAAGCGTGATTTCAAGTAATTCTCAATTGCTATAGCTATATCCTTTTGCTATTCTAAAAAAAAGAAAATATTATTTGTAGCAATATTTTACATTTACATACATATACATGTTTTTTTCTGACAATTTTGTAAATTTAACAGATATTTAGCAATAAATGTTATTATTATACCCGATTTACAACAGTATCCTTGATATAGCTTTGTCTGATCGAGTATGAATTAGATATCAATGTATTTGCTTCTTTAAAGGGACAGACCGGCTATGTAAGGTAGTTAAATTGAGTATACAGTGTTGTGGACAAATTCTTCAGGATTCATTTGAGACATAAAACTTTTTAAAGGCTGTAAATCCTGAGTTTGAGCGCATAGTCGACGTTCAAAATCGTACTTTTGGGTGGATACGTTTATTTTCATATGACGGCTTTGCGGTTTCAATACCCATTCCTTGTTTATAAGAAGCAATTGAGAAACCGTACAGAAATAAAAAAAAATTTCGAGTGAGATAAGCGACGGTGCAATTTTATCAGATTATGGTTTTGAGTGTAGCCGTCTAAATCAGGCATTGCCATCTTCCACTATAGAGGGTCACTTGAAATCACTTTAAATAGTACCTCGTGTCTGAGATGATTAACTTCCCCTTGTTCTGCTCGGAGACTGCTTTCAAGTTTAAACTTCTGCTCCAGTTGATGAGAGAGCAGAGCTTAACAAACATATTATTTTAACATTTGCAAAAAAATACAAGTGAACTGTAATTTGTGTACATTTGTGTTTTTTACAACTATATGCAGCATGATGTACAATATTTGCCCCCGTCCTAGTCGTAGGACGGACCCAAAAAGTATAATCTAATATTCTGAATATGTATATGAAAATTGAACTAAAATAAATATAACGAATATTAAAGAATAATATACACAGCACAGCTTACAAGCAATTATGTTTATTTTTTTTTACTTAATATTTGACCTTCTTTAATGTATTTAATTCTTATTAAAGTAGGAATTTAAATTGCTATTTAAAGAATATTATTTGAAGCAACCTGATATATCTCGTACATTCTCCATTTTGAAGAATGGAACAATTCTTCTTCAATAAATACGTTGTCACGTCACGTTTCCATTGATTAGTATTTACTATTGTTAACTTGTTGTTGTGTTAGTTTGTTTGTTTTGAAACTGCAGATAACAGCTGATCTGATTCGAGGTTTAGTGAGAAAGCAGGTAGAATTGGGAAACCGACCTAAAGTGTATCCGAACTAATTTGGAGCCTGATTAAAATGAACAATAGGTTTAACAGGGGTGTATGTATGGGGGGGGGGTTGGGGTTAAGTACTTAAAATCCTATTCCTGGGGGTAACCTCCCATATAAACTTAAGTGGGCACCCCCCCCCTCCCCTCCTGGGGTTCCAACCTAAGTTTTGGGAAGAATTGCTGCAGTTGGTAAATTATCACTTGGGAAGTCGCCATTGGGAAAGTACCTACCACCAATCAAAATGTTCAGGGAAGTTTCTAATCAAAGAATCATGAAGAATCAGACGAGTTTCTCAGCTATAGGAGGTCGAGGTGCTGATTTTTTTTTTTGGGGGGGGGGCTCTTGGTTTCCATTGGCACATTTATAATTGTTATTCATTATAGAAGGGGATTATTCATTTGGTGTACTCGGCGTACAGCCGGCCCCAGTTTGGCTTACAAAGTAGCTGTATAACTGTACTGTACAGCTTGACTTAAAGCTGGTTAAAAGTCGGCCCGGTACAATTGAAATAGACCGGATATTACAGAGTTGGGGCCAAAAAAAATTGAAAACGTGGGAACCATCGATTTGACTGATCCAGGGTGGGCCAACCCCCCCCCCCCTTGAGTACGCCTCTGAGCATCGGTAACCCTGTAGTGATAGTGTATAAGATTATATAGTTTACTCAAAACAAATTGCATAATTTAATTTTGTTTACATATTTACATACTTAAGAATGCATGAATGTTCTGCTATGTCCTTGAATTGAAGTGAAGCATTGCAAGCAAATTGTTCAAGCTTTCTACATCCTTTGTACTTAAAGCACTAATAAATCAACCGATTATAATCATTTAATCTTAACATCAGCTGATACAAGGGGTGTCCCAATAAACCCAAGAATTACAAAATCACTTAAATACTGGCTTTTGTTAGAAAAAGGTACATTTGCAACAAATGTGTTCAGCAGGCCCGTTGCTAGGGAGGGGGCACAAGGGCACGTGCCCCCCCCTCTTTTACCCCCGAAAGTGGGACAAACTGAGACAAAGAAGAAAATCAAAAAACTATAAGATGGAAACAAGAAATGAAAGAAAGAAGAAAAAAGGAAGAAAATTGGTATCAAATCTAATTTTTGTCACCAATGCTATAATGTGTAAAGGATTGTTTTTTCTTCATTTTAAAGAAAAAATTGATTGCTTTTTGTAATAAATTATTTGGGAATTTTTAGTTCTATCCTGTCTTGTGAAATGATAAAAGGTTTAACTTAATTTGTTCGTATTTTGAGAAGGTTAACCTTTTACCTTCTTTTATAAGAATAATTAATCTAATGAACCATTGTACAGGAAAAAGTAACATGGAGACAAATTGAAATTATATATGAAATCCGGCCAAGTTTAGGAGAAGCTATTTTTACTGATCCTCAAACTTGAAGGGGAGTTTTTTCGAATGAATTAGTTTTGGGAAAACTGAAGATTTTCATACTTAAGCTTTTCTTGATGTTTACAGACATTTACATCCTTTGCTTTCCCTGTATTAAAAATAAGTATTGTCTTATCGTAATTAAAAATGTTCAGAAATGTTCTTTATAGTTTAACTTAAATCTCTACATCTAATTCTTCTAGTATTTTTTTTGTTTTGATGCAAATAGCTTCTCAATATCTATAACTAGAATGCCTGATAAGTTAAAAATCTAGTTTTTTAGTTTTTAGCCATTAATTCTTCAGAGCTAAAAACTTTAGAATGGGATATGCTTAATCCTGATCGGATAATTAATCTGGAGATTAAAAATGAGTGGAGAACAAGCAATATTTAATCTCGAGATTAAGAAAAAGAGTGGATTAAGCCTTAATCCCGATATCCCCCATTCTAAAGTTTTCAGCTCAGGTTATATTACCTACATCTCAAATTTCTAAAATCTAAGTGCCCCCCCCCCCCTGTAAAAATTCCTAGCTACGAGCCTGAATGTGTTTGCTTTTAAAAATGTGTTTTACCATCGTTAAATGAAATGATGAAATATTCTGTCTTATTACAATTATATTCCGTACAAATGTAAATTTACCAAATCATGTCGTTCAACATCTAAATGCAAGGCAAAATCCCAATTTTCAGGTTGACGAAAAGTGCCATATTTTGTATGGTAGCCCTGTATGTATAACACAATCTTAAAACATTTATTTATCAAATATTTTATTAAGGAAATAAGAAAATATAATTCGTGATATGGAATTGTTAAAAACTTAATTTGTCTACTACCGAGTAAAGAAATAAATCGGTGGAAAATTAGAAAATCCTTTTTTAAATTTAGAAAATATTTTTAAAAAATAGAACAAATTCTTCCTTGTTTACTCCTACAAACTGTGTTTGTTTGAGTGAAACAGAATTAAAATAACCTCGAGTTAAATTTCAATTTTTTACCCGGATTTTACACTTAAAGTAAATTGATATGCAGCTATGTTTAAGAACATAGAAACAATAGGAAACAGTAGGAAACAGTAAGAAACAGTAGGAAACAGTAGGAAACAGTAGGAAACAGTAGGAAATAGTAGAAAACAGTAGGAAACAGTAGGGCTAAGGCTGATTCAGTGTTCTTCAAAAAATGTGAAATAGAAAACTAGTTTAAAGGGAGTGTCAATGAAAAATGAAAGGGGGTATAGGCTGAAACCTGAGAATCTCAGGAGTTGATTGAGACCTATAAGAGTTCTGTTTGATGTTTCTGTCTCGAGAAATTGATATAAAACTGTGTCAAAATTATACCAAAACGTATATATGTAAGATGTTGTATAGATTCGTAGTATTAAACAGATCATATTCAAGAAATACGCAACAAATCTGAAAACAACGATTTCCCAGAGTTACGCTTCAAGTCCCTTTAAGGGTTTAATAATGATGAAAATGGTTAATGTTTTTTTTTGCAGCGCAAAATTTTTGCTCACTGTTATAAAATATACAAGATTAATTTATATTCAACATCTAAGATTTTTGTTAAGCCTCCGAAAATTAAACAAATGTTGAATGTTAAAAAAGCAGTTAAAAAACGATGTACATGTACATGTAAAATAACTTTTAGTTTTCAAAGACTTTAATCTAAAGCGTGGGACCAAATTCACCCTTCAACAGTATATATAAATTTCAGGTCGTCAATAAAGTTTCATGATTTGTGGGTAACCCTGCAAAATTTTACAGAAAATGTTAAGCTTATTATTGAGAGACAGGGAATGGAATGTTAAAGATCTATTTAAGAGAATTCTAAATCTTTCGCTATTTTCAAGAAAATATCTCTTCGTTTTGCCAGAAAATTAAAGATAAAATATCCAAAATTTGCTGATTCAGGAATAAAAGCGGACACGGACACATTGGTTGATTTTATTTAAGTACATATGTTTCCGGTGTCCTGCATGGAGCGGACTCAGGGCGGACTCGACTCTTGTAGGACTACCCATTTTAACACAATATTAGACAAAAAAATCAATGTTAAAACATTAAAAATTATTAGTTGACAAATATGAAGTACGCATTTAGTTCTTAACTGTATTTTAAAGGGGTTAAAGTAAAAAAAAAGGTTATTTCCTATTGAATTAATATTTACTCGAAACATAGATATAATTTTTAATGTGTTTTTCAAATCAAACAACATTAATAAATATCGGAAAATTTCCTAGCATTGCGTTTAATGTCTAACATTGTGTTGAAATGATTAAAACTTTAGAGGGAGTCTGCCCCGTGCAAGAATCCGCTCCCTGCATGACACCGGTTACATATGTCTATGCGAGAGCTAACAGGGACAGTATGACGCAATATCAAGGGGAACTTCTCTTTGTAGAAAGAAATACACAAAGTTCCGTTTAAACCTTAGTCTGATCAATGATTAATGAGATACTTATTTTCTTTTTGAAAATGTTTTAATTGTGGTTATTAGTTTTGAAGGATTCACCTTATTTTATAAACAAACTAGCTGACAAATATGGAAAATCCATTTTAAGATAGAAAAACAACGATATCTTCATAATTCTTACTCAGATAGAGGTTAAAGTGCACTTTTGTGAATCAGACATTTCCAAATATATAAACGGAGGGTCACTTTAAAAGACGTAAACAGTCCCATTATAAGGTTTAAAGGTAAATCAACACTTAGTGGGTCATCGGTAGAAATTGCATTATGTAAGTAAAGTTTAGTAAAGTTTAAATTATACTCTTTTGCAGTCAGAACATTTTGTTCATGTTTTCGAACTTAAGAAATTCAAAACAACTAATATTAACTAAAATTATTAATTAAATGTTAAAAATGGCTCGCATATTTCAATATTTTTAACGTTCTATTCGTAATTTGGAGCAAAACGATAGTAATTTTGAAGCACATGCTTTTGGTAAGTTCTATATCAAGAACAAAATGATAGGAATTTTTTGCATCGTGTTTCTAATTAGTTTGTAATTGTTAAAGATGATTTTGCAAAGAACGAAATATGTGCACTGGAGCTGCAGGAAATCTTAAATTTAATGAAAAAAAAACATATTACTAGGTCCGTACAGTTGTCTCTAAACATATTACTAGGTCCGTACAGTCGTCTCTAAACATATTACTAGGTCCGTACAGTCGTCTCTAAACATATTACTAGGTCCGTACAGTCGTCTCTAAATTCATATCTGGATAACCCTGTTTAAGAAACCACACTTGTAGAATTTTTATGAAGCCATGGCTATCGAAAACCTTATTTATAAGTATTTTCTTTAAAACCATTTTATCAAAAAATACCTCATGCGCTTTTTCTTTTTTGTGCTTTTAATAAATTTTAGAAACAAAAAAATTGTCTTGACTTTTAATATTGTTTCATTTTACAGATACAAAAGAGGACCAGACTTTTATACATGTTTTTTTCATCAAAGATTATATACAACCATATTTTAAGACAATCTGTATCAAATTAAAGGAAATATCTTAGAAGAACTAGCACATACATATTTATATAATCAATTGTATTATAATATTAAAAGTTTTGGATGTGCATTAGATTCAAAATGAATTCTATTTTACAAATCTGAAAATGCACTTAAAGTGAAACTAACTGTTTTCCAGCAGGTAAGAAAAGACAGTTGAAATTCAATGCTAGATTGTTGTTGTCAAGGAAACTATAGATTTAATTTAAAGTTCCCTCTACCCACCCTTTTTTTAAAATGACAGGCTTGATTTATAACGATCGATTATGTTTAACTTAAAAATACATTATTTTTAATTGTGGTTTTACCAAAGAAAAGCATGGCGTGCGGACTTTTGCTACAGATCCAAAGCAGAAGATTGTTAGAAAGCTAGAAAAACGATGATGTCTTCCATATAATTGATCATATCAAGATTAAAAGCTATTATCGTTGTGAATCGAAACATTTTTCCTATAATAGAACACAACCTTTATGCCTTTAGTGGACTTCAATGCCCCTCGCCAAACTAAAAGTAAGATAGAAATCTTATATGTTTTCGATAATAACTCATCTTTTTTGAGAGCAATCGTGAAAAGCACTATTGTTTTGAGTTTCTAATATATAACCGAATAGATTTACCCTGCGTGGTGACATAGTTGTTCCAGTAATGCTAAATAGATTTAACATTCTCCCCTGTCTCGTTCATACTGACACCCTTATACATGTTTAAAAGACACACTAAAATAGACCCCCCCCCCCCCATAGTTGAAACCAAAATTGAAAATAATCAAAGTTCAGGTAGAAAAAATAAGGATATCTCTTTCAGCCTTCATCCTTCAGAAAGGGTATCACTGTGAATGTCACTTCTACAATTCCTTTCAGGATTTCCTGTTAAATCGTAAATAGTGTTTAAATTAAGTTAATATCTATAATATGTATACGCTTTATTTCTAATATTATATTAGGTATTTGGAAAGAACGCAAAACAAACTTTTTAACTTCTGCTCACAGCTCAACTATTGTTCGAATCCATCAAAAAACAATTCTTAGCAAACAATTGTATTTAATTTTTAACTGTTACGTGTATACCTATTTATTTTTCATGTATATTACTTTTTAAGAAAAAAAAAACAAAGTTAAGTTATAAGAAATTTATATGAAATTGCAAGGTTAAGTAGGTTTTTTTTTCAAAATTCAGATATTTCCTTTTATCTTTTGAGTTAAATATTAGTATCAAAACAATTTTGATAATTTTAGCAACTTAAAACTTAAAAAAAGGTTTGATATATCCTATAAAGACACTCTATATTTAGATTGAGCGTCTATTGATATTTAAATCATTTTTGGAGTAGTTTACACTGTACACCTACAGTTACCTTACATACAGTGAGAACAAGAAAATTATAGAAACGGAAAACGACTTAAGTTATGACTTAGTCAAATGAACATGTGACACAGCGATTTTTCCGCGGCAACAGACCCATTTCATTGTATAATAACATCAAATACACTTAATAATTACTGAAATGTCGTCTTTTTATTCCACAGTTTTCTGGTTCTCACTGTACTACAGGGTGTCCCAATAAACATGGTAATTGAGAAACGACTTGAAAGACGTCTTTGATACTGAAATTTAATGCATGATAAAGTAATCATAAAAACGAGGCCTTACGTTTTACAATCTTTTCATAAAGTGGTCTATAGACCTTTCTAGACCTTTCTAGACCTTTCTAGACCTTTCTAGACCTTTCTTGACCTTTCTAGACCTGTCTAGACCTTTCTAGACCTTTCTAGACCTTTCTAGACCTTTCTAGACTTGTCTAGTCCTTTCTAGACCTTTCTAGACCTTTCTAGACTTTTCTAGACCTTTCTAGAAATTTCTAGGCCTTTCTAGACCTTTCTAGACCTGTCTAGACCTTTCTAGACCTTTCTAGACATTTCTAGGCCTTTCTAGACCCTTCTAGACCTGTATAGACCTTTCTAGACCTTTCTAGACCTTTCTAGACCTTTCTAGACATTTCTAGACCTTTCTAGACATTTCTAGACCTTTCTAGACCTTTCTAGACTTTTCTAGACATTTCTAGGCCTTTCTAGACCTTTCTAGACCTTTCTAGACCTTTCTAGACATTTCTAAACCTTTCTAGACATTTCTAGACCTTTCTAGACCTTTCTAGACTTTTCTAGACATTTCTAGGCCTTTCTAGACCTTTCTAGACCTGTCTAGACCTTTCTAGACCTATCCAAACCTTTCTAGACTTTTCTAGTCTATTCTTGTGTCTTAAAAATTTACGAAGATATTAAGATAATTTTGATTTGGAAAATAAATTGAAATTTTTACAAATTTTGCAATATCTCAATCAATTTTGTTTAAACTGGAATACTGCAATATTTGTGTTTATGAAAAAATGCCGCATGGATCGAAGACGATATAAAAGTTTTTACTTAATTTCCATGTTTATTGAGACACCCTGTACATACCAGAAAAGACGACCTACCTCTTGTATAAGCTATTCTTTTCTCCTCATCCCGGGGGTGGGACTGGTAGCTCCACCCCCCTCCTCCAGTTATCCCTTCAGGGGCAAATCCTTTTAAGTTGGGCAGGGAATTATACCTGGAATCAAAAAAATTATTTTCATAAAATATTTTTCAAGTCATTTTTTTATGATTGACGACGTAGGAATATGAATACTTAAAATGCAATATGCATGCTTTAGTTTGACTTATTGTTATTAAACTTGTAATTAAACCTGTTATTAAACTTGTAATTAAACCTGTAATTAAACCTGTAATTAAACCTGTAATTAAACCTGTAATTAAACCTGTAATTAAACCTGTAATTAAACCTGCTTGTAAACACAGAGGAACTGAACACTTAACGTAAGCTCTTGATTCCATATTTGCAACATATTGTTATTGTCGTAGACTATTTCAAACTAATAACTTGGCTAGATCTTGAAAAAAGCTTGCTTATTAAAGCCAAAACTATGGCAACCTCATGAAAAATGATTCTTTACTAAAATCTAATTTTGTTCATCAATAAACCTGAAACAGTTTTAATTGATTTCATTTAGTCTTTTAACCAGCATGGTCATGTCATTGTATTATTGATGAATTTATGCAGAATTCTTGTAAAAATACCGATATCTTCTGTTGATCCTGCAGATTCTATGGATTTCTTGACAGCTGGAGTATTAAAAAAATGCACATTGACCAGCTCGTGCAGATTGCATATTTATGATCAGAATGTATAGAGGGAAATAATTAATTTTCTTCTTTTGAATTATCAAAACTTTCAGAAGGTTTCAACTATCTGAGCTGGGAACTTTTGAATGGTGGATATCGGGAATAATGCTTGATCCACTCTTTTTCTTAATCTCGAGATTAAATGATAATGCTTGTTCTCCTCTTGTTATTAATCTTCAGATTAATTAACCGATCGGGATTAAGGATATCTCATTCTAAAGTTCCCAACTCTGAAGATTTTAACCAAAAGAGGAGAAGCAATATTAAATCTGGAGATTAAGAAAAAGAGAGGATCAAGCATTGATCTCGATATCCACCATTCAAATGATTTCAGCTTAGGTCTTTGTTCAAGAGTTAAAATCATGTTGACATAATTTTCTCAGGTGGTATTACGGAAATGGTTAAATTTTTTTCATTTGTTTTCGAAAAATGTTAGGACATAAAGTAAGTGTGTTTTAAAACTTTGCAATTTTCTTTTGGAAACAACTTCATTTCCAACATTTGTCCCTGTTTTTAAATTGTAAATTTTACATTTTAAAATCCCTATCGACCCATCCTATGGGAACTAAAAAAGGTGCTTCCCCGGCCACGGCACAGCGCTAAGTTGCGCCTCTGTATGTTTCAAAAATATTTTGAATTTATCAATGAATAGTGAAATGTGTAACTGTTTCAAAACACGCTCTTTAAAAGTGTAATTATCTAAGTTTGAGCAATAACAAAATGTAGATTATACAAGAGAGAGAAAGCATGCAAATATGTTTTCTTTTTCATCTGAACCTTGAATACTTTTCTAAATAAAATGTCAAGAAAATCTGGCAAAATCTGTTTTTGTATGATTTTATGATAGAAGGGAGTGAGGGTCGTCTTTTACTTAAAAGCTGAAGAGGGTAAAGTACCTCTCCCCTGGTATATTTTAACTCTGGGTTTACCTAGGAACTGAAGAGGGTGAAGCACCTCTCCCTTTTTATATTTTAACTCTGGGTTTACCTAGGAACTGAAGAGGGTGAAGCACCTCTCCCTTGGTATATTTTAACTCTGGGTTTACCTTGGAACTGAGGGGGCTGAAGTACCTCTCCCGTGGTATATTTTAACTCTGGGTTTACCTTGGAACTGAAGAGGGTGAAGTACCTCTCCCCTGGTATAGACTCTGAGGCCGAACAGTAGCATATTTAGATCCTGGTATATGAAGAGAGGTAGGTCGGACTGATTTAGTGTCGTTCAGTGGTAGAGTAATCTATAATATAATTAGTAGTATTAGACGGGGACAATCGTATCTTTGTTCTAGCTTGAAAACAATTTCCTAACTGTTTCTGCACGTTACTTTCAATCAGAAACCACAATTAAAATTGCCCAACGTAGAGAACCCATGGATTTTTTATTCATTCTTATCAGGAAAGCTTTTAAGTGTACCGTAATGACACAAAAAAACCATTCTTCTAATGGTAGGTCATTTTAATTTGCGTTCTCAGTCCCTTTTATGGTTATTTGGCCAGCCCTAACTTTACCTGGCCAGCCATGCACTATACCTGGCCAGCCCTAACTGTACCTGGCCAGCCAAACACTGTACCCGGCCAGCCCTAACTGTACCTGGCCAGCCCTGCACTGTACCTGACCAGCCCTACACTGTACCTTGCCAGCCCTACACTGTACCTGGCCAGCCCTACACTGTACCTGACCAGCCCTATACTGTACCTGGCCAGCCCTACACTGTACCTGACCAGCCCTATACTGTACCTGGCCAGCCCTATATGTAGCTGACCAGCCCTATGCTGTACCTGGCCAGCCCTGCACTGTACCTGGCTTTGTTGAATACTGACTCTACTCCCTCCATCTAATAATTGTACAGAGATCTCGTTGCTTGTACAATCCGAGGAACCGGTTCTTTTCGTAGTTATCAAACTTCCATCCTTCTGCACTTTTACCTCTGAAAAAGTCAGATTGAAAATGCCTGCCAATCTTCATAAATAAAACAGTATTCTTTGCTTTTTTACTTCTTAATTCGGCTTAAAAATAAGAAGAATACGAAACTTCTCCAATGTTTAAAGTTTTGATGATATTTTGTAGTTTAAAACAAACAAAAAATTATTATTTTTAAACAGTGTACATGTTATGAGTTAGATTTTTGTCGATTTTGTTCCCCAAGCGTAAAATATATAAATGTAATTAAACCTGTAATTAAACCTGTAATTAAACCTGTAATTAAACCNCACAAAACTAACCTAAGTGTGCCTCTGCCCCCTCCTCTGGTATGTCAACCTTAGTCTGGTACATAATTCCTTGTGCATCTGGTAGCAGCTGAACAGGAAAACCAGAATCAGAATTCATGCTTAGATTTACAGCAGTGGTCGAAGGGTTATTTTCACCTACCAAGTTTTCTCATCTTTTGTTTTTCAAGGGAATATTTATTTCTGGCTTAAATATTACCAATGTACTTTTTGTTATAATAAATTTTCATGCAGTTGTTTGAACTACTACCGTTTAGATATGACGTCATGTCAATAGTTCAAATTAACAATAGTTCAAATGAACAATAGTTCAAATGAACAATTGGTCAAATGAACAATAGTTCAAATGAACAATAGTTCAAATGAACAATAGTTCAAATGAACAATAGTTCAAATGAACAATAGCTCAAATGAACAATTGTTCAAACAGGATAGCATCAAAGCAAAGAGTTAACTAGGAGCTTAAAATTAAATTATTAAAACACGACAGTTGCTTGAGTCCCTCTGTAAAATAAAAGAAAAACAATGCTATAGAATATACACAATTGTAAAGTTTTGAGTGTTGACCAAAAACTATAGTCAGTTGAATATTGGCTTTACAATAATGGTTTAATATATAAATTACATTTCGACATTTTTTTGTATTTGACCGTTTTTGTTTAATATTGAATATTTGTTGAGGTTAGAAAAGTGAAATATCTAAACATCAACAAAAGTTTACCCAAAATATGAAAATTCTTGAACAGTAAATTACATCCAAATCCTTCTATTGAGATAAAGAAATAAACCATAAAAGTTTTTGTCTTTTTTCAAAAAATTAGAAAAAAATTCTTCTTGAAGATAAGAAAATTTCCTTCACTGTTAAGGTGATGTCTGATAGTAAATGCATCAAATGGCTGGATATTTGCATTAAGTGTAAAGTATCTCGGTGAGGGTGGATCAGCTGGCCGGTTATCTGGACACAAGGAGTTCCGGCGACAAGCATGGTTACATGGCCGCCAGAGCAGTTTCTTACTCGAGGTTTCCGGTGAGGTAGAATCACGGTTCTCCTTGGCTTGGTAAAACTGTTTCCGTTTTGCAAACACTTTTCGGAATGGGTTTTCACAGATAACAGGCTTAGAGTTAACTGTATAAAGAACGGTGGTTGATTTTGCTGAAGATTTTGGTGCGTCACATCCTAGAGAGTTGGTGACAACTGTGCGCTGGAAACCACAGAAACTTGTGGTCGCTAAACCATCAAAATATTATCAAAACAGAGCTGAAAACTTTAGATTGTGATATCCTTAATCCCGACCTGTTAATTAATCTGGAGATTAAATTCATAAGGAAAACAAGCAATATTTAATCTGGAGATTAAGAAAAAGAGTGGATCAAGCATTAATCCCGATATCCACCATTCTAAAGTTTCCAGCTCAATCCATTTTTCATCTGCGTAACTTATTATATGTAAATCATAGACTTCTCAGATACAGATCTAAAGGAATTGCGCCTTTGTCACAACTTCCGATTTTCTAATCCATATATATATAAACCTGATTGTGGTAGCATTACATATTTCAAACTATGAATTCGGTTAGATCAAATAGCCTTGAAATATAACTATAGGTTTACACCTTCAGTTTACAAAGAAAAGAAAGTTGAACATTTCAGTTTGTAGCAAAGACTCAATTCCTTTTAAGCTAAAAAAAGATTGTTTGATTGATTTATATTTTGCTAGTTTCCTATGGATATAGTCCCGTCCCCGGAGTCTTTTAGAAAATGCAGTGTTCCAGTTGATAATGAACTTTTAGTGACTACTGTTCCAGGTTCTAGTAATAACAAACTATATATTAGCTAGTAATTATAAAGGGACTGTAAACAATGCAAAGTTCCCATAGGTACCATTCAAATCTTTATAGTTCATGCAGTAAAAATGTGCAAGTAATTTTGTAGAGAACCTACAATTGAAAATAATGAGTTTTCAAAACTTTAAACATTGATATCTCATTAATACTTGATCAGACAAAGCTATTAGGGTAGAGTTGTGATTCTGGTATTGCCATCTTGGCATGGAGGTTCATCTAAAATTATGTTTACAGTCCTTTTAAAATAAATTAAAAATAATAGTTTGTCATTTAAAATGTTAAAGTTTGCATAAATTATCTTGCCATAATACATAATAACAAGAAAAAATTTTGGACACAAGTGTTTAATTTGAAGTTGAGAAAATTTGAAGAAAATTCATTCTAAATTGTAATCTACTCATTTCTTAGAAGAAGCAATGTTTACAAGTTAAATGCAGGGTTGGACAGTCTCCAGTTTTTTAAATGTGTTTTTGCGGTGTCTCATACCCCTGTTCCTGTTGGAAGGGGGGGGGGGGGGAATTGTGTTTTTGTTTAGCACAACTCAAAGAGTATTTGTTCCAAGTGCGCATTACCTAATTTTTATTTTCATCTGTGAAGTTAAGGATTAAAATATGTTTAATTAAAAAGTTAAATACATTTATCTTATAATGTAGAAAACACACCTAATTATCATAATATCTATAAAATGATATACATTACTAGCTTTTGAACCCAGCGTTGCCCAGAGTCTCAAAACTCATGGTTACTACTCCCGCCGTTTACCCGCGCTTGGGTTTTAAATGATTTAAGTTATTTTCCATATCAAATTTGACCCACACAACTTAAAATATCAAAACCATAAACAGAACATTCCCGTGATTCTCACGAGTTCCCCAATCAAAATTTGAGGCAAATTGGGGTTCATGAGTAATGATCGAACATACAAACAAACAGACAAACAGAGATTGCCTCCTTATACATTTACAATACATACCCGTAGCTAATGTTGTTTTTATACTCGTATTTCCAAATGGAAGTACTAAAGCTGAATGCTCAGGTATTAAATCTAGAAATAAAGATCCATTAAGATTTCATAAAACTAAAATTAAATTTATTTTGTTCACCTATGCAAGTTTTTGTTACTGTAGTATTTTTGCCACAAAGGATCATTGACTCGTCATCAGCCATGGACAATGCTAGTTCAGGTAGTTCAGGTACTAAATCAGTCTCATTCTAAATTAAAATATATCACGTCAATAATACAGTGATAACTAGATAACTGTAGAATAGGAAGACGACATTTAAGCAATACTGAGGTGCATTTAATGCTCTTACAAACAAAGTAGCTTTACTAGTAAGTTATTAAACTTATACTTATTAAGTGAACTTGGTCTGTTTACACTGCACACTTGCTGTGTCTCATGTTCATTGGACAATTTAAAGTTATAACTTGAGTCTAAAAGTAGACTTTCTAGTTCAGAGGTTTCTGGTTATCACTGTAATTCTGCAAGATGTAAACAAAACATAAGTACTGTAGTACAAAATATATTTATGAGTATAAATTAAATTATCAATGAATTTACCTGGATTAGATGTGAGTTAACACTGTCTGGTGAATATAAAGTTTCTATTCTACGATGGTTTCCAGAATCCTAATCAACAGATCTTAAAATATTAAAACTTGAATATATAACATTTATCACGTGACAGAGGTGCATTAATAGATTTTGCTATATAACTACCTAATTCTTTGGCAGTATTAAAATCATTACTTTCAAAATGTGTGTTTTTAAATTTGTTTGATGAGGAGAAGAGGGGGGGTTAGGTAAGGTTATCCATATTTGAATAATTTCCTTTGGTGGGCTCTCTGGAGTAAGAACAACTGTAGGTATAGTTTCTAAAATATAAAATAAACATCAAACATTGTATTTTAATAAATCAAAATGTTCCGGAAAATAAAATTATGCATTTTGAAAAGGAAACTCAAATTATATCATGAATTGATTTAAAAACTATTTTTATAAAAATATCAATAAAAAATTCTTGTGTTTTTATGCCAAAATTAAGTTAACCATCGCTAAATACTCTGTTCGGGAAAAAAAACATTTTTGCTTAGAAACCGTCAGCAAATTTAGCACGACCTACCTATATCTGCAAACTGGGCTAAGGAAAGGGGTCTTGGAATAGGCTTCTTTATTCTGGTTCCAACAATTGAACCTTGTGGAACTCCATTTTCTGATAAAATCATGCATTAAAAAATTAACTCTTCCTAAAATATTCTGTCTTCTAAAAATGTCTTGCTAAAATTGATTGATATATTTCTGTTCTTTTGAATCCAAGGGCAAACATTTTAAAAAGTTGTTTGCTACAGTAATATGCTTTCATTAAGAACAACAGCAAAATTAAATTACATTTCTAAATCTTTATAATGAAGAGTTTTCTCCTGCTTTAAATCCATGGTTTCCTATAAGATTAGTGTTCTTCTCCTGTTCCCTATCCTGGGGGATGTTCTTCTCCTGTTCCCTTTCCTGGGGGATGTTCTTCTCCTTTTCCCTTTCCTGGGGGACAACATCATAATTTTTTAGATGTTGTAGAGTGACAGGGTCCCTTCTCTCCTCACACCTCATAACCTTAGAAAAATATAACCTTGTGAGTCCAGAAAGAGATAAGCTTTGTTTTCTTTTGCGCGAATATTTCTTAATTGGCAAAGTTTTTACAATTGTTTTCTCTGCAAAGGGACAGTCTTTGTAATCTCAAGGAACCCCTATTTAAAGGGGGTAGTGCCAGACTCACAATGGTATCATTAAAACCTTCCTTTGGCCTATAAGATAGATGACGTCGATTTTCTGCCTTGAAAAGTGTTTACTTCTGACAATCCATGCACTGTTTCTATTGCAAGAACTGTACAAGCCAATTTAACAGAGAAACCACAAATAAAAAAATAAAGTTTTAAAAAACACAAAAAAGCATGAATATCTAATACTTCAAGCAAAGATTTTCATGGTACTATTGTTAAAAGCACATGCCACTCTGTCATTGTAGAATTGAAATTACGCATACAGCCCCTAAAATTCTTATCACTCTACCCGGGGGAATCAGGGTGTTTTTTCATCTTCGATTAAAAAAAATCAAAACTATCATTAATTGATATTTTCAAACGTAATTAACAATTATTCCTATGATAAGAATGCCATTTTTGAAAATGTCTTTCGTCTTAAACAATCGTTTTTGTTGTCCATGATGTTTTTATAGTCAGTAACAATTATATTCACATATTCCGATTTAACGATTTTAACAAAACCATATATTTTAAAAACAATTTTGTCAATAAGAATACATTTTATATGTCAACATGTCAGTAAATAACTAAATATCTATAGTTTCAGAGACGACATTGAGATTAAATAAAATATTAGAAGCAAGAAGCATTACTTTTCATGGTCAAAAGTATTTCTAAAAAGCATTCCGTGACAGAAGATTATTTGAAAAATAAACATTTGTACTATTCTAAAGTTTTGTAATTGGAAAGAAAGCCATGCATTGCAAAGGTTTGCAAAATTGTACATTGTATGTTAGGCTTTTGTATAAGTGGGTTGTAGAGTTTTTTTTTTGTTTTGAGGGGGGGGCATTATAAGGATTAGGGATAAGATTTTTCATCAAGAAATGTTTTAGGACAAACTCCTAAATAATTTTGTAATTCAACAATTTTCAATGGTTTCTAGTCTTTTTTTTTGCCAGATTTCTAAGAAAACTTCAATTTCTATGATCAAAATATTTCACTTATATCATGTCATGTCTGTGAGAGGTCCGATCTAAACAATGCATCTTGGTTATAAAATGTCCCAATACTATAAATACAGTAATATCTATGAAATGTCCTATCCATGAAATGTTATCCATAAAAGACCCCAACCAAGGAATGTCCCATTTTTGAAATGACCCAACTATATGAAAAGTCCCATCTAAACATTGTTTCGTCTATCCCAATTAACCCTATCTCTGCTGGGGTACATGAAAACCAGGATATGCTGGATTGACCCCCTCTAAATCCCATGTTTGATGTCCAAATATGACAAATGATACATCATTGGAAATCTTTTGTGCTCTTCTTTTAGAATCTGCAAAAAAAATTTGCAAATTTGCAAAAATTTAATTTTTAATCGCAAAATCCAGATATATAGTAAAATTGTTTGCAAAAAAAAATTTGCAAAATTTTAAATTTCCTGATTTTTAATCAAGAAAAACTAAAAATGTGCAAATTTCCCTTGACAGATTATTTGCAAAAATTACAATTTTTTCGCAAAACTTGTGCAATTCGTTTCCTTATGTCAAAGGCTTTCCAAAAAGCTAAATTTTATCAAAATCTGACAAGTGGAAGTGGGTCAAAACAAAGATTTAGTTTGTTACAGGAAAAAGCAGTTATTCAGGCAGTGTGCCTGAGGACTCAGGCAGTTGGTATTAAAGCCCGGTTTTAGGCCTAAAAGGAGGGCTTTGGGTATGTAGGAAAAGTCAGAAAATTTCAACAGCCTCAGACCAATACTTTTTCAGTTATGTAAAAAAAACTACAGGGGGGGGGGGTCAAATTGACCCCACCCAGCAGGAATAGGGTTAACTATAGCATTTTACATCTATGAAATTTCCATTTTTGAAATGACCCATCTTTGAAAGAAAAGTCCCATTATTTGGAGCCTGATTCCTACACTTCTGACACAATTCAAACTATGAAATCTGCTTTATCTAAATGCCAAAGCTCGAAATATCTAAAGTTTATTATTAATCAGGTTGCAAATATAATAAATGAATTGAGTGCTAAGCTCCTTTACCTTTCGTGGCAGACTGAGGTTTGTGGATTCGTAACATCTATTAAATATCGTCATTTGTCAGGTTAAAAGAATAAATAAAAAGTAAAGACTTGTAACGGAAAGTCTAAGAATTATTCATCCTGAAAGAGATATCGGGAAAAGATAAAGCAAAAGAATTTGTGGAATTCAATTTTATCAATAAAGACGATTTTCCTTTTATTTGGGACACTCCAGTCTGTTTTCGGCTCTACAACTATATTCAAATGTTTAAAGCAAACTTAGTTTTAAAACATTTACTATTTTTTTCCAATTTCTTACAATTAGGGACTGTCAAAGGAATTTCATGTGATTCACATCGTTATTTTTAAAGATATTTTGGTTATATTTCACTAAATCGGCCGACTTTGCTTTAGCTTAATGAATCTGCAATTTACATGAATAATGCTAAAATTTTAAATTTCAGAAAAAAAATCTTCCTACTTTTTTCTCAGACAAAGGTTTCTGGGTACCGTTGTGAATCGGGCGTTCAACTCTCCAAATGAAGGTTCACGTGAATTTACGTCAATAGTCTTTTTGAACTTGATTTATACTAGATTGGCCAGCCTAAATTTTACCTCATCATACGACTGAATTCTTTTAAAATATTTTCTAAATATTTGTGTTAAACTCGAAGTAATGTTTAGATCAGAAGATTGCTGTTAAATGTTTTCTGAATGCAATGAAGCATCAAAATGAAATATCTACGGGGAAAATAAGGTAGAGTCACTGAACAAACATGAACATTTTATAATTAAAGAGAGTGTCTGGCTAGACATGGTAGTTGAGCTGAAAGTGCAGTATTGCAGAGACATTTTTTAGGATTTATTTGACCCTTCTCTCCCGATCTATCCTTCTCTTTCTGTTACATTTTTTGTCGACGTCATTGATTATTTATTTTACAAATCCGATTTTCAAAACTATCCCTTCAAAATGAGCAATCTATGAGGATTTTAAAGATGAAAATTGCACTCTTACTGAACAAATATGCTTCGTTAAAACGTCTAATAGGTATAATTGTCATAAATGAATATTTGAAATTTCTCTGCAATACTGCATTCTCAGCTCAACTACCATGTCTAGGCAGACTCTCCCTTTAATTGAAAATAAAAAGTATACCAGTGTAGGGCTTTAATATTTTATGACTTCTTTTAAGATCGGTCAGTTAAGATAATAGAACCTAAAGGAACATTTCGTAATTTAACATAGATAACTTTGTTAGGTATTCAACATTTTCATTATATTTTGTTAAAATACTTTCTTTTGGTGACATTAAAGGTAACTTCAAATTTTCAGTGACCCTTTTTTTGAGTGCCATATTGGATTCATGAAAATACTCTTTCGATATATCCACAATTCACTTTGGTAGAGAATGATAATCCATTTTCCTGAAGAAAAACAAGGATAACTCCTGCAACGTACCTAGATCCGTTAAAGGTTAAGGGGCGCTGTTGTGAATCAGTTAAAACTATGTTTACAGTCCCTTTAGCATGAAGTTTAATAACTAGTTTCAATTCCTGGTTTAGAACATTTTCCTTGTATATTTTGATCCAGGGGTGCAAGTACAGTGGCCCAGGAGCTGGTGGAACTACCCGTCTGAGAATCACAAACCGAACTACGTCTCATCTTCTTGTTTTCTCCTGTTCTGTAGGGGTCCCCTGATAGTGTTCCAGCAGAATATCGTCGTTGGCTCAACTTCAACCGATGTCTGAAACAAAATTGTTTTAAAGAGGAAATTTTTAATTTTTTTAATTTTGTATCTAGAATTAATCATGAGAACCTAGAGATGGGCATCAAATTTTTTTTCGTAGTTGAAAAAATTACGAACGATGAAAAAACTAATTAAATTGTTCCGAGAATTAAGAACGAAACACTTGACAAAACGAATGGGAAAAAAATATTTAAAATAGATGAAGAGTTTCCAAATTTTCGTGCAATCTCTTTCTCGAAAACTTCGTTCAGGCAACGAAAAAAAGAACGCAAACAAAAATGTTCGCGAAAATTGTCTACCCGTCGTTTAAAATCGTATTTTTTTCCGCAAAAATTTTTAACAACCCATTTTCGTGAAATTTTAACCTTATTTTATTAACATTTTTGATAAATTATTACGAATTTTAATTTTTTTAAGAACTGTTTTGTTGAAGTCAAAGATGACAACTAAATATGCAGATTTTAACACATTTTATGCATAGCAGTCGTTGCAGAAATATTTCAATAAAATTTAACTCTCAGAGATCATTTACCAAGGATTCACAGCAAACTTGATACTAAGTCATTTTTAAATTGTCTGTTCACTTGAACACCAGGCTATAATAGATGAACAGTATTTACAAATACATTAGATAATTCGTCTGCATATTAAAATATCTTTTATTTTCATAAACCAGTCATGCATACTATATTACAGCAATACCCACAAAGGATAAGACTTAAGAAACAATAGTCAGAATTTGTTGGGTCTTCATTTATTTGAATGTTCCCTGGAGCTGTATGCTCAGTTTTTCTTACACCATTCACCAACTATTTTAAGACAGAGAAGCCAACCTTCAAATTTTCATAGTTGCATAGTTTTTAAAACCCAGACCCTCATACCTGTCTAAAAGCTAAAAATCAGATGTTTTTATGACACATTATTCTTTCTTTTTTTAAACATTCCGAAACCCGCCTTTTCTGTTCAAATATCTGCATAATCTCAAAGTATAATCAAGTGCCTTAAAAAATGGTGAGATGCAAATTGCACTAAACATACCTAGGACTCTGACTAGAGCTTTGTCGCTAAAATGAGTGATTTATTGATTGCACAGTAAACATTAGAGATTCGTACTTTTCAGCTCTCATTAGGGAAGTAGGAAAAAGAAAACATAAAGTTAAAGTTTTAAAGTATGTCTCAAGAAATAAAAGTGCTATACAACAGAATATTATAAATTGCGCATTTTCAATGATAGAATTGAGGAATTTTTAAAATAAATTACATTAATTAAAAATCTTTGGTAAAGGAATCGAGTACATTTCGAGTACGGAGTACATTTTGAAGGTTAATACGGCTTTTAAGCGCAAAATATGATCTATATATCCTATTAAACTGTATATCTGGATCTATATATCCTATTAAACTGTATACCTGGATCTATATATCTTATTAAACTGTATACCTGGATCTATATATCCTATGAAACTGTATACATGGATCTATATATCCTATTAAACTGTATACCTGGATCTATATATCCTATTAAACTGTATACCTGGATCTATTATATCCTATTAAACTGTATACCTGGATCTATATATCCTATTAAACTGTATACCTGGATCTGTATCTTCCCTGCAATGAACTCTCTAGTTCTATTCTCAGCTCTTCCTTGCATCTCTCTTTATGGTTGTTGTTCTAAAAATATAATTACAATGAATTATTTTGTCCAGGGGCCGATTTTAATGAATGGAAGACCGTTTCCCAGGTTCAACTACTTCTTAATTTCTCACTGGCTTATATCCTGATTCCTGAATTACCGATTGAAAGTTCAAGATTTTAAACAACCTCATAATTTGTCAGCTAATGGACTATAATTCCTGGACAATTACATATAATCACAGATTTGTTAAAAAAAAATATTTTTTAGGTTGCTTCTATTTCAACTTTATTTGGACTTGAATTAAGTTTCTACGATGCAGTACAATTAACAATGCTAAAACTTATCGATCTAAGTGCGTTATATTTTTATATTTGTGTATTTATGATGCAATATTTAGCAGTTTAGATGCAAATATTTAAAATTAAGTTTGACTGATTAGTGAATCTGCAAGGATGACAGATTGGCAAATTTTTCATGTTCTCAAACTTCTTTAAAATGTTATTCAAGGCAAGCCTTAGCATATTTTGGGCGAGAGTGGGGGACTCTTGTTATTTTGGGTTAAATAGTTTAATTTGACATGAATGGGTATTTTAAAATCTGATTGAGGAAAGAAAAGGGAGAGGGGGGGGGGCGGAGGTCGAGAAGAAATTTTACATAATTTTACTAACTGTAGTTTAAAGTTTTTATATACGGGAAACGGGATTAACTTCATACAATTTATCTAGTTAAGAATATTTGAGACATTTTGTTCTAAACTAAGACAACTCACTAACACAAGAGTTAACTTTAATTTACGTTTCAGACAAAGAATTTGTATTAAGATGTAATGATGGCATAATGATGTCAATAAGGCTAAATAGAATATGATAAAACGTCATATTTACATTTCCTGAAACCCCCCCCCCTCACCCCCGTCTAGAATTTTGATATTTCGGATAATTTCTAATATTAGGCAAAAATATCCCATCTTATCAATTCCCCAGGAGATATCAACTTTAATTACCGTAACATTTACCTTAACGATAAAAAGCATCAAAATTTTGAAAAATACTAAGATAATGCACGCAAGTTGGAAAGAGAACGTGTGTTACATGTTTGTTAACGAGATTCGTTTTTTTAAAGGGAATGATCGGCAATTTATAAGTTGATATGAGAATATAGTATTGTGGAGAAATTTTTAAGAAATCATTTGAGACCTATGAGACGTTTTTACGGTGAATTTTTTTTTCAGCAATAGCGAAATTCAATCTTTAAAATCCTCATAGATTGTTCACTTTTGGGGGATAATTTTAAGAATCGGATTTTAAAAAATTGTTTAATAACGACGACGAAAAATGTAGTAAAAATTCTACAGTAAACTAATTATTTGTTTAGGAACAGGTTGAGAAAATAAAAAAATAACTATTATCATCAAAAATAAGTAATTTTTTTCAGTTATTGGTTTCCGTAATGTCTCATTGTTCACAAACATTTACTGTAGATTTCTTAGAATCTTTATTGAAAAGACGACATTTGAAGAATTTGAAGAAATCTGCGAACAAATTCATAAAGAATAAGAAATTCAATATAAAGATTAAAAAGAAATAATTGATTAAAACATTGAGTTATTGAGAAAATTTCAATTGAGAAATATGTTCCTAAACATCTAATTAACTTACTGAAGAATTTTTTTTACATTTTTCGTCGTTGTTATTTAATAATTCAAAAAAAATGTTTCTCAAAATGTAACTACCCAAATGGATGATTTTGAATGTCGACTTGGCTCTCAAATCGTTCTATTCCAAACATTATCATTCTGTTTCTTAATCAACTATTGTCTAAGATTTTCTTCATAACTTTCAATTTAACAATTGTTGAAGAAATCTATAGTTAGGATTTTGATGTACCTGACAAAAATCCCAGATTTTATGATAATTCTTGACCTTTAAACATGCGTTTGACGCTCCCTCTTAAAATGTTTGGCACATAGGACTTTTTTTCATGCAAAAGAAATTTGTCAGTAAATCAATGTTAGAATCAATTATTTCGTTTTCATCTTGAATTTCTTATTTTCTATGAATTTTTTCGCAGGTTTCTACAAATTTTTTAAATGTTGTGTTTTCAATAGAAATTCTCGGATCTCAAAACGTACCTACCCAAATCGATGATTTTGAACATCGACTTTGCACTCAAATTTAGTAATTATCTTTAAAACGTTTTATAGTCTTGAATTAATTCTTTAAAAAAATCTCTACAATACTGCAATCTCAGTTCAACCACCATACATTGCCGGTCACTCCCATTAAGGGAAAACTGAAAATGTGCAAGAAATTGTGAAACTTTCGAAATCTGCTTTCATATTTCGTCATAGGGGTTACATGAATTTAGAATAGGCAAAAAAAAAATATATATTACTATCTTATTGAAAAGAATCCAACGTTATCTAAACTTTCAAGTCTATTAATATAAATATTTACTAATGCACTGAAAGAATTTTGTTGAATATTTTTCATGTCTAAGTTTAGAATATTGCCGAAAAGTGTGCTGAAGTGGTGAATGAATGGTCAAGAATAAATCTATTTAGCTAGTTTGTTTATTTAGGAAATACTTGGGGCCATATTTGTGAGTAAAAAGATTAATGTATATATGATATTGATTGATTGATTATCAAGACGACTTGAAAAATGCCGTTGTTCACACTCAATTTTATCCATTGCTTGATTGATTGTTTTTTAACTGCTCGGCTTGGGACCGAACTTTCTAGAGTTAATGGATATACTCATCAGCAAAAATAGGGATAAGGGATATAACGTGAAAAAGGATTGTTGGAATATTTCAAAATGTGCATATTAAGGAATCATTTTTTATAGAAAAAGATAATCCTTGCATTCAGAATCAAATCTCTTTAAAAAAGTAACTTTACAAATTATCAAAAACTAAAGATATTAAACTGTTAAATAAGCAGAAATATTTGCAAAACAGATTTTTAGAAGTAGTTTTGATGTCATTTATGATATGTCATGCTTTTGATGCAAAAGCAGTGAGTCTTTGCCACAAACTCAAATTTTATAATTTATATATCTTTGGAGCCTGAATTGTATGTATGCCTTTGATTATTTGAAATATCAGACATTATACTTTGAAATATCTAAGGTCTACGAGATTGGGCTGCATTGCAAAGATATAAGGATATTATAAAATCAGAAATTGTGACAAAGACTCAATTTTCCCTTGATGAGGTGTCTACTATGTAGTTTTGATCACTGTTCTACTACGTGCAAGAAAGTCTAGTCAATGGCAGGCGAGAAGACTTATTGATTGATTGATAGAAGTTCTGTGTATATGGGCGCAAGCATGGGGCACAAAAATAAACAAGTTAATAAAGAAAACATAAACAGTATTGAAAGAGAAAAGGGCAAAGTCTAGGATGATGATATAATATCCTAAGAAAAATTTATTCTTTTAAATCTTGCAGAAAAGGGTAATATATAAAGAAGAAAGACTGTCGTCTTCTCTCGTTATTTTAGTTAGAAATGCCGCGGAGGAATTTTATTTGTAATTTGTAAAAATGAAAAAAACATAGCCTGAACTTTTTAAGATGTATAAATCATGTGTAAGTGTAACAGGTTTAAATTATCAAACTTTTAGCTACAGGAATTGAGTCTTTGTCACAAACTCAAAGTTTCTAATACATAAATCTTTTCAACCTGAATGTGTAAACTTTTGATATTTCAAACTTAGATTATTTGATATAACAGAAATTATAGTTTAAAATATATAAGATCTAGGACATTTGGTTAAGTTGATATAGGGATTAGAAAATCAGAGTTAGTGGCAAAAACTCAATTCCTTCGTCGATTAAAAAGCGCACGCCCCAAGTTTTCCGCTTTAATTGGTAATCATCAATATATTATAGAGGACGTGAGTAGACTCTAATGAAAACGCATAAATAACTTCCAGTGTGTATATTTCTTATAACTTATTACTAGAGGGTTCAGAATAACAGTTTATATCGAGATCACACGTGTAGATGTTTATCAGTACTATGCCCCGTATCCGTTCTATCTCATTCTGTTGAATCTTGTGGAACTTGTTTAACGCGGCCAGGCATCGTCTTCCACAATATATTTAATATTAATATATTGATTATAGTACAGCGAAAACCAGAATTAAATATCGATATCTCGTCGTTTCGTGGTTTTTATTTAATTATAAAATGTTGAAAAGAATTCTGTAATTTGCAATTTCTAAATATATACCTTGACGTTTTTCATAGTTATATCGTTGCAACACTTGCAAGATACAAAATCTTTTAAGTCAAATGAACAACAAAGACGACATTAATTTCACAGTTTTCAGGATCTCATGGACTAAAATCTAAGTTCAGCCGGGTGTACAATTAAGCTAAAAGTGTGGTTTAACTTGAGAAAAACCAAACATTTTGTGAAAAGGGAATTAAATTTGTTAAAATATTAAATAGTGCTGAACTTTCTAATAAGCAAAAATACAGAGCGTCCCATATCATATTAGATTATCTCTAATCTTTAACGACAAAATAAACCCTTAATACTCGAAGAACTTATCATTTTCTGCAAGAAAATTCTTATATAAGCCTTATGTTATTTTTCAACTTGATTTATTCGAATTAAATTTTCTTATTAGTCCCGAAAATCGCAATTTAGACCCGTTGACGGTCTAATATGATGTGGGACACCCTGTATGTAAAATAACTAGTTTTTCAGTTAATATATTACAAAGTATTAATTTTATTATAATAATTATATATCATATTGGTATTGACATTCTATATAGAAATCTCTGTTTGTATCAGTCTCAGGAACCCCTTGACGACCTTGACTGATTTGACAAACATTTTGATTGGAGAAATCGGGCAACACAGGGAATGCTTTTACTTGACTATTATAGGAGAAACTCTTTTTCCAGGTAAGATTTGGTTTCCCAACCTTTATGCTTGATTCCAACCTTTTAAACGTTTACTTACATACCCCCCCTCCCCATTTACAAAATAATGCGTTTTCTAGTTTTAAATGTCAATACGTCAACTTTGTTTTGATAATTTCTGAATGCTTTCTACTACTTTCAAACATAAAAATATACTTTTTAGGTTTTTTTTCGAAAACAAAAGACTGGGCACTTTTTGGCTGGCCTTCAATCCTCATAGATTAATTCCCTAAGACCAGATTTAATACACAGAGATAAGTAGTTGAACTATGTAGACTTAGTTGAACCACGTATTTTGTGCGTTGGTTCAATTTTAAGAGAAGTTGTTCAACTTATTCTGCGTAGTTCAAATTTGTTCTCGCTACTTGATAAATTTGGCCCCTGAACAGACAAATTATTTTTTTTGGGTTTCGCATATCAAGAAAAACGAACTTTTCATTCAATTTTATTTTTCTATGCATGAAACTTTAATGTGTAATGACGCCTTAACATTATTTGAATTTGATGATATTTAGGTTGTATAGGATGTTAATTGTTATTAAAGAGTACTAGATGTTTCTACATTTTTCATATTTTTCGAACCTTAATACCAAATATATGTTGCGGATTTTCCAGTTTTTTTTTTGTTAATTTCAAGTTGAAAACAGCTAACACAACAGAAATTATAGTTTGTTAGTGGATATATTTTGAATGCTTAAATAAATGAAAATTTTAATAAAAAAGTAAAGGCTTAAATTTGATACTTTCCTTGGAGATACCATATATATGTCAGTTAGCATTAAAATTATATAACAAAAAAAAGGAAATTGAAAACAATTAACTAACAGGATTCCGATTTCTTCGCTTAGTAATATGTACAATTGTACATGCTATAGCCCAATTAAAAAAATTTAATTTCTAAATTTAATTAGAAAGGTTATCGAAATTGCAACAAAAAAAGCCAAGTTGGATTATTATGAAACAATATTTTTTTTGATTTCACAAATAATAGCATGGGAAACTTTATACAATTATTTTCAAGGGCTTTTGAAATTACCTTTTTCATACAGGCCTTGACTGCATCATCTGTTATGCTTGGAAAGAGGGCCTTTAACTCATGCAGTAGCTTCATGCCTTGTATGTTATAGTTAAAGCACAGGCCTGACATTTTCAAGCCGTAGGGTTAACCAGTTTTCTTTAAATTATTTAACAGATTTTAGTGATTTAGTTAAAAATCACTTTAAAAATCACTTTATTTGTATTGTGAAGTCGGCCCACTGCTGAAACATGATGTAAGTACACTGGTGCCTGTATAGAAAATGGGGGGGGGAGGGGCAAGGAAAGCCAAGTAGCAAGAAACAGAGAGTTCTTGTGCTGACCGATATACGTAGACTGACACTAGCTAACCTAACTTACTCCAATAAACTTTAAATTATATATATACAACTTTTTTAAAACAGATTTTTTATTGAACTTTGTTGATAAAATACTAAAAATTTTATTTCAGTAAATTTTTGAAAAATTGTGTTTTTGAAATTGCGAAAGTTATAAAGGAAAGGAATATAGTTCAGGACAGAGAAGAACACCAAGTTATTAGTTCAATTAATCTTGCAAACATGTAAATATCCTTAAGTTGTATATTTTAACCCGATGTAGGTAGAAACGGGCTGACAGACAGGCTACAGGGTCAACTGTATACATTATACATTTAATTAAAAGTGTACACTTTACACTTTACACTTTGCACCATGCACATAAACTTTATAAATGTATGAATGTATAAATTATATGTGCAATGATATATCCAATAAATATACATTTTTTTAAAATCTACACATAAACCCTGCAAGTGCTTTTTAAAATAAAAAATATATAAAAATATAAAAAAGGATGTAAAGTATGTTTTTATGTAAATTCAAATGAAGCTAAACTACTTCGAAACTACAAAATCTCAGCAAATATCTAAAACTCGGTTTTTACGATGTTTTCTAAGAAAAAAGTGGGAAATCCCTTCATTGAGTTAATTTCCCATATTTAAACTTGAACTTACGTATATCAATCTCCCCCCCCTCCAAGTCGTTTTTATTTAGTAGTAGTAATTTTTTCAAATATGCTATTTAGGTAATTTAAATCCTTTTTTGCAGTTTTTTTCGCATTATTCATAGACACAAATGGTTATGTTACTTCTCAAAACTACCATATTTTTTATGTTGTTTACATCACTAATAACATTTTATGCATAAAACTAGCAGACAGGTTTATGACAATTCTTTTGACTTGTAATGCCTCAAAGTTATAAATTGTAATATTTCTTTGGTTCCCCGACCTAAGCTTCTAAAGAAAATGTACATTAAAAATTAAAACTTTTTTTAAAAACTACCTATGTTAACCATTAACTTTAAAACCTCTGAATAATGTCGTCTTCAACTTAAAACCTCCTCTCGGAGACAAAACCAAACCAAATAATTTCAGCCCGCAATTACTTTGTACTCCGCATCATGGAGCCTAAAACATTTTTCGTTTATTGTGAAATCATTAAAGTTAAGCAAGAATAGTTTCATATAAAACATCAGTGAATTTCATTAAATATTCAAAATGTAACTTTTTCAGAAGTTTATAAAAAAGCATTTCAATACCGATCAACAATAAGTTCCCCTATTAAATCGTAAGATAAATCGTAAGATTTTTTATTATTAACATTTATTATAACATTGTACATGTAACCATGATCTATAATTTATGTTATTTTTTAGGAAATAAAGCTTTTGTTATCGATTTTCTTGAGACGGGACAATTCTGTTGTGTGTATTGCTACGGCCGACTGGGATATAAGAGTCTGGGGAAAATAAATATCCCCCACCAGAATCTCAACGGGCCTTTTATTCAAATTTGTCTGGTGTGTTGCTGTGATCTGTCAACAACCTAACAGAGGAATGCAATTATATTTTATTTTCTGATTTAACAATTTTTTTAACTTGAATTTGTACATATAAAACTTTTCTATTTTTTCTACTGCTTTCATCCACAAACGAGGGTGTCTTCATCTTTTCGTAATATTTTCTACAAAAATATTATCTTTTATAAAAATTTTTAAAATTATTTTATAAAAAAACATAATTTTACCTTAATCCACTTGAGATGCATTGAAACGTTATTCCATTTTTGGTTCATATCTTTAGTAACAATCTACATGTTTTTCAAGGTTTTTATTATCGTCATATTGCCTGGGATTTTTTTTTTATTTGACAAAGTTTAAAAGAAAAACATGTGATTTCCTCCAAAATATTTCCTAAAAATGAACAATAGAAGAAGTAAGGGAGAATTTCATTTTGTTCGTTCATCGTTTGTAAACGACCCATTTTTTTACAATCTTTCAAAAAAATTCCTCCTCAAAATTATCGTTCATTTTCCATCTATTTCGTTCAAACAATTTTTAACCTTAAGTTTTCTTCGTTTTTTTAAACAATCGTTTTTTATTTCGTTTTTAGTACGTTTTTTTCTGAACGAGACCATCGTTCACATAAAATTTCGTTTATTCACAAAAACGATGCCTGGATTGAACCTTTGTGCTGGAAATCTGGATCATACACAAGGATTCCTATATTGATAGGCTTAACCGGGATGGAATTTAATGATGGAGAGGTGGCTGAACTACATTATACCACCAGTTTAAATCCTGAATCCCCAGTTGGTGTTGAACAGCATTAATTAAGTCTAAGCTATACCCATGTATGCCAGAAATCCAACATAAAAGTTTCGTCCGGATAACAGTCTAAATAGTACCGCCTGACTTATATTTTTATTAGCTTAGAATGTGTAATGTAACAAAGGTTATCTAAAGAAACTTCTAGACAATAAGATTTTAATTTTTATTTTTTCTCACTAAGATAAACAGCCGTTGCCGCATTTATCAAAACAATAAAGACGACTTTTTATTTATATTTTTATTTATATCAAGCTATTAAAGAGCAAATAGATACACCTGAACATGGAAACAAATAGAAGCTGTCAATTAAAAATGCTTCTCTTAAATTACTTGTAAACTTGAAATTCAAAAAAACTTAATAAAAAAGTCGTCTTCATTGTATTGATGACATAATCGCCGATGACTGTAGTAGAAATAACTTACTGAAGTGTATTTTCATCACAATGGTATCCACCTCCCTAAATAAAGAAAAGTGTTTTTTTGTGTCATAAAGCTAAAATACAAAAACAAAAACAATTGAAGTAGTAAAAAAAATTGATACCTGAATTTTTTTATTAAATTAAAACAACAATGCACACGAAATTACGATCTACATATTGAGAAAACAACAATGCATACGAAATTACTATCTACATATTGAGAAAACAACAATGCATAAGAAATTACTATTTACATATTGAGAAAACAACAATGTATAAGAAATTACTATCTACATATTGAGAAAACAACAATGTAAATGAAATTACTATCTGCATATTGAGAACACAACAGTGTATACAAAATTACTATTTACATATTGCCAATTGCCTGACTGCTTCCGAGCAGAGCCAACCTATCCTATGTGGTCCCAGAATTACAGCTGGAGAAGTGCTGAGTTTAGTTACGCATCTTGCATCTTACAGAGGAAGCAAGAATTGTACATAGATTAAAACATAACTTCATCTTCAGCTTGGTGCACTGATCGAAGGAGTTTAACCCTGGTGGGAAAATAAGCCATGCACAACAATATGGGTTTATTACTTGACCAGATGTGAGGACTGGACTGCTATGGAAGATTTTTCTCAAGAGAGCTTTCAGGGCTCACAACTCCCCATTTTACCTAAGTGGGTGCAGTTATGGGTTTCCTTAATCCCCCTTAACTGGGAAACAGTATAAAAGGAAGGAACATAGGGAGCAATCCCCTGTACCCTTCTTTCTACAAACCTCCTTATCTCTCTCCTATCTGCTCCACAACTCGATATCAAAAGAACTATTTGGAAAGGCCTTAAAGTATAAAAACAAGATACAAGAAGCAAGAAAAAAGTGGAAGGGAAATCTCTTGACAGTTGAGATGGGGGCTTAAAACAAGATAAACAAGAAAAGAAGAAGAAAACTTTGAACAGGAAAATTAGAAGGGGTTTTGAAATTTACACTATCTATTTTTTTCACAGATAGCGAATGAAGACAAAGACACAGAATGGCAGACATCCCATCCCCCCCTCTATGTCCTACTCGAAATAAAAAACTGGAAAAAGTGTAGCAACAATGTATATAACATTACTATTTACATATTGAGAAAGCAACAATGTATACAAAATTACTATTTACATATTGAGAAAACAACTATGTACACGAAATTACTATTTACATATTGAGAAAACAACAATGTATACGAAATTATTATTTACATATTGAGAAAACAACAATGTATATAACATTACTATTTACATATTGAGAAAGCAACAATGCATACAAAATTAATATTTACATATTGAGAAAACAACAATACATGAAAAATGACTATTTACATAATGAGAAAAACAACTTAACGTTAACAGTTCCAATTATTCTATATTGATTATTCTCATTCTTGAGCATAAGAGGGGCTCCGCTATCCCCTGAACACGGATCCTACACGCTACAGCAGATTCATTTATACACTCACATTTTTAGTTGGTTGTAATCACAATTATAGTAATCTTTTTGTTGTTTAATTTTTGTACTCCTTGAGGGGTAGTTTTTTAAACTTTAAAAAAAATAATTCAAATTATCATAGTATTTTGAAATCTATTTTTTTAGGGACGCAGGGGTACCCACAACGGATGAAACTTCAGAAACAACTCTACGAAATTCAATCTAACATTTAAAGAGCCTCAGGTCGTCTTTAAAGAGCCTCAGGTCGTCTTTAAAGTCTCATATTCTTTGTGGGAAACCCTGTATTTCTGTTTTATAATTTGATTTTTAAGTTTTAACCTCTTTCAGAAGAAACTGTTAATTGAATGAATATCTTCCTTATAAACTCCATAGTCATTCTTCTCTGTTATTGTGCTGAACAGCTGGACAAAAGTAATTTTTTTTTCATAATATAAACAAGGATAAAAAAGTTTAGTCCGCACTAAATGATTATAAAGTTTATTACTAAATATCGGTTTTACAAGATTGTCAGAAAATAAAAAAACATGTATATATATATAGTAATGAGGTCAACATTTTTTCGACTAGAGTGGTATAGCTTATCAAGCTAAGGTACACAGACATTTGTTTTATATATCATTTTTTTTAAGGTTGGCATAAGAAGCTCAGAGTTTTAATTTAGCCATTTTTTCACGAAAGGAACTGAGTTTTTGCCACAAACTCAAATATTCTTATCTCTATATCTTGGCAACCCAATGTCGCAAACTTTAGATATTTCAAACTATTATTTCTGTTAGATCAAATAATCTAAGTTTGAAATATCAAAGGATTAAACCCACTGGTTGCAGAGATATAGAAATTAGAAAATTTGAGGTTGTTGCAAAAACTCAATTCCTTTGACAAACTTTAACACCTTTGTGCTGAACTTAAACATTAATAAATTCAATTTTTTTTTCTTTCTATAATCTCAAAATAACTAAAATAATCTTATAAGAAGGCACTTTATTTTAGATTTCACTTTACATTAAAATTTTTTGTGATATTCCATGAAAGAAATCGAAAATTGGCGGATTTTCTCCAACTTATTATATCTCAGAATCAAAATATAGAATATTCGAATAATTAATGCAATTTTTTTTCAGGGTGGGAGGGGTTTAAATAAGTTATTATCCCTCTCAGGGCTAAGAGGCGTATTCAGGGGGTGGGGGGCTATGAGGGTTCAGCCCTCCTTTAAGGCCCCTTTTCATTTTGATCTCTGAAAGAAACTATTAAATAATTTTAGAAGATGCATACTAAACAGGCCAGAGACTAGTAGTAGTCTTGATTAGAAGCATAAACAGAAGACTAGTAAAATGGTAGTCTTGATTATAAGCATAAACAGGAGACTAATAAGCAGGGTACTCTGATTTATTCAGGGGCCGCGCCATTCCCTACCCCATGATTTTACTCAGGTAGGGGTCGAACCTTAGGTTTTTTAAGTGGCTTACTATATAGTAGATTTGGAATTGGATTTCTTCGTAATTTATTTAACTTCGGTTGTGCTGATTTAACCTATGGTAAATGAGTCAATTGGTTTCTACGACTTTCATCAATGGTAAATTTAGAATTTTCAGTTTGTGCGCATGTCTGAATTTCCAAGTTAAACCATGGTGACTGTCGTCTTTGTTTTTGATACATTAAATTAGATAAGGATCCTTCACCTCTCCTCATTATTGTTCCATCTCCTTTCCCTTTCATTTACTCCACTTTTATCTCGCTTTTTTCTTTCTTGTTCTGTCATTGTCAATACTTATACCTTTCAATACCTTTATATATCCTTCTCCTTCGCACATATACCGGTTACAGGGTTTTTTATGCAGTTGTAGTCCATTACCCCTCCCACAGTAAAATCAAGGCCCCCTTAATCAGACTACCATGCTTACTAGTCTCATGTAGGGATGTTAACGTTTTCATTTTTCAGAAAAACGATCGTTTCGTTATGAAAACGACGACAAAAAATCGAAAACGAAACGATCGTTTTTTTTAAAAGTTAGTTTTTTAAAAATGGTCGTTTTTAAAATGATCATTTTTATAAAATTCGTCGTTTTGTTAACAATCGTTAACGACAACCCTTCATTAACGATCGTTAACGACGGACCATCGTTAACGATCGTTAACGACGACCCTTCGTTAACGATCGTTAACGACGACCCTTCGTTAACGATTGTTAACGACAACCTTCGTTAACGATCATTAACGACGACCCTTCGTTAACGATCGTTAACGACAACCCTTCTTTACAAAAACGATTAACAACCCTAGTCTCATGTTTATGCTTGATGATTACTAGTCTCATGTTTATGCTCCTAATCAAGACTATACCATGATTACTAGTCTCCTTTATATTGCATTTCTTTAAAACCCTATTCCCGCTGGGGGTTTTAAAAGTTTCTTTCAGGGATCAAAATAAAAAGGATTCTAGGTTTTGTTGTAAAAATTCCGGGGGAACAGGGGCGTATACAGGAATTCCGGGGGAACAGGGCATATACAGGAATTCCGGGGGAACAGGGGCTATACAGGAATTTGGCCAGGGGGGGGGGAGCAACAATTATTTTTCCATGTGGGGGGATAGTTCCCTGGAATCTATAGATTTCACCGATCCAGGGGGGCTGAACCCCCATAGCCCCCCCTGAATACGCCTCTGATATTGGTAGATTAAAAAAACAAGGAAAAAAAAGTTTTACACAAAGAAAATTGTCAGATTTCCGTGAAAATATAGTTTTTTTGCATTAATTATTTTTTTTAATATTGAAAGAAATAGTCTTTTTTGGTACAATTTTAGATGGTGTAATACAAGTAGGATAAAAATGTCAACCTTTATACAAATTTATTAATTTAATCTTTATTTTTTTAATTTGTATTTACCGAAGGGAACCCTATAGGTGGAGCAATCTCTAATTCAACTTCACGTAAAATTTCAGAATTTGGATTCCTACCCGCTCTGAAATATAGGAATATTTGCTTTCTTAAAGGGACTATACTCGTAATTTCAAGTGACCCTCCGCTTAAAGGGATTGTATACGTAATTTCAAGTGACACTCCATTTAAAGGGATTGTAGACGTAATTTCAAGTGACCCTCCATTTAAAGAGATTGTATACGTAATTTCAAGTGACCCTCCATTTAAAGGGATTGTAGACGTAATTTCAAGTGAACCTTTAAAGAATTTACAATCTACCACACTTCATACAAAGCTTTTGAAGGTACCATTGTGTATCGGGCATTGCCATCTTTGCATGGAGGGTCACTTGAAATTCCGCTTTAATTTAATTTATTCATTTAATTATTAGAATATAAATGAAAAATGGTATTAAATATAGCACTTACCTGAAATCCCCCCAACCAGCTGTAACTGCTAATAGTCCAGTATAGTTTTTATATCCATTCTAGAAAATGTATGCATTGCATATACAGGGTTACCCACAAACAATGATGCTTCAGAGACTACAGCATGGAACTTCTATTTTTCTTGTTTTGTTACCTGCAAATTTAATCTTCTCTCGTTTTAAAAATCAATAAATAAATTAATAAATAAGTGAAATAAAAGGTTTACGACTTTAAGAGTTAAAAAATAGACTTTCTTGATTACAACTCCACTAAATTAGAATCTAGATTTCTATACACCTTAAACTTACTTTAAAACACCAGTGGAACCTTCAATACATTGTTTACAATAAAATTAACAAATTCAGTTCAGCTTAGAGTTATACGAGTTTTTAAAGCAAAATTTAAATATGATTTGTATTATTTTGATGGAATGATTTCACAGATTTTAATTACCTTTGGTAAACAGATGGGCTGAATGTTTTTAGAAAACTTTACAGGAGTTTCAAGCTCATAAATAGCCAAGTCATGCGTTTTTGGGTCCTTAAAATTAATTAAATAAAAAATCTATTTTTTCTGTCTTTTCAATTTTATATACAGTGAAACCCTTAATAACGAATACATCGGAAGAATTTATTAAATGTCGTCTTGACAATTTTTCAATGAGTTTTATACTATATTTCGTAAATTTCAGTATTTGCAAAAATAAATAAATAGCCATGAATATGCGGGAACAGTTTTAAAGAGTTCCATATAATCATTTAATTAAAAAACTAAATATCTGCAACATTCCATTATCAGAAAGTGAAGAATACGACATTTGATGAATTCTTTCGATGTATTCGTTATTAAGGGTTTCACTGTACTTAAATTAAAACCGAATAAAGAGAGTTCCGAAAAAGGTTTCAATTAAATTTGTTCACTTGCAACATTTACGCCTAGTTGAAATAAAAGAACTTTTATATCTTGCGTTTGAAAAATTGTAATTCTAAGAAAGTTTTAATATATAATTTTCCAATAACTAATTCATATTATTTTTTCGTACCTCAATTATTCGCAATAATAATGGATTAAATGAAATTCAAACTTTTTACCTCAAGACCAGGGTGGGGTGGGTAGTAGGATTACCTCTCTATCAAGATCAGGGTGAGGTAGGTAGTAGGATTACCTCTCTATCAAGACCAGGGTTAGGGGGGTAGTGGGATTACCTCTCTATTAAGACCAGCGTTAGGGGGTTAGTAGAATTACCTCTCTATCAAGACCAGGGTTAGGTTGGTTGTAGGAGTACCTCTTTATCAAGATCAGGCTGAGTTGGGTAGTAGGATTACCTCTCTATTAAGACCAGGGTGGGGTGGGTAGTAGGACCGATTACCTCTTTTTCAATACCAGGGTGAGGTGGGTAGTAGGATTACCTCTCTATCAAGATCAGGGTGAGGTAGGTAGTAGGATTACCTCTTTATAAAGACCAGGGTGAGGTGGGTAGTAGGATTACCTCTCTATCAAGACCCTGAATAGGTTGGTAGTAGGATCTTACCTCTCTATTAAGACCAGGGTTAGGGGGTAGTAGGATTACCTCTCTATAAAGATCAGGGTGAGTTGCGTAGTAGGATTACCTCTCTATCAAGACCAGGCTGAGTTGGGTAGTAGGATTACCTCTCTATCAAGACCAGGGTTAGGGGGATAGTAGGATTACCTCTTTATGAAGACCAGGGGGAGGTGGGTAGTAGGATTACCTCTCTATCTAAACTAGGGTTAGAGGGGTAGTAGGATTACCTCTCTATAAAGACCAGGGTTATGGAGGGTAGTTGGATTACCTCTCTATCAAAACCAGGGTTAGGGGGGTAGTAGGATTACCTCTCTATCAAGACCAGGGTTAGGGGGGTAGTAGGATTACCTCTCTATAAAGACCAGGGTTAGGGAGGGTAGTTGGATTACCTCTCTATCAAAACCAGGGTTAGGGGGGTAGTAGGATTACCTCTCTATCAAGACCAGGGTTAGGGGCGTAGTAGGATTACCTCTCTATCAAGACTTGGGTTAGGTGGATAGTAGGATTACCTCTCTATCAAGACTTGGGTTAGGTGGATAGTAGGATTACCTCTCTATCAAGACCAGGGTTAGGTGGGTAGAAGGATTACCTCTCTATCAAGACCAGGGTTAGGGGGGTAGTAGAATTTTTTCAGTGGTATTCCACCAAGTCTTTTCCAGCTTTGTTTCATCTCAAAATAGTCAATTCCTGAAATTAATCTGCTTTAAAAGGAAGGGAACTTTTTTATATTCTTAATTCATTTTTATTGATTGCCATTTAACAAATGTTGTCATTTATCATAATTAATTCTAATTCCATCTATTTTCACATCCTAGTTGTTTGTTTTTATCCAATGAACTTCTAAACGGCTGAACCGGTCGGGACAAACTTTTTTTTTTGAACTGCAGCGCTATCAAGAAAGCTTTTTCATAGACATAACAAATTTGCCATAAAAATCCACCAGCGAAAAAAAAATCAGCTTTATCTTAAAGCGAGTGTTCGCGAAAAATGAAAGGTGGTATAGGCTTACGTCGACAAATATTCGATGGCGATTTCTACTAATCTTTCTTCTATCTGTTGCGTCTATAAGGAGATAATTGTTAAAAACTACTCATACCGAAGAACGTAGCGTCCATACAAAGTCAGAAAACTGCAATATTCAACTTGGATTGTAAAAACTCAATTAATTCCAAGCAAATCATAAAGATATTACAACCTATAATCACCGATTTTTTTCGACGCGTTCGTATATAGTTGATATTTCATAATATTTTTTACCTAGCGACAGAAAAAATCGTCGTTTAAAGTACATTGTATATGTAACAAATATTATGAAATTTCAACAATATATCAATGCGTCGAAAAAAAATAGACGATTATAGCTTATAATTTCTGAATGATTTGTTTGGAATTAAATTGATTTTTTTACGATAAAAGTTGAATATTGCAACTTTCTGAATTTGTATGGATGCTACGTTCTTTGGTATGAGTTGTTTTTAACAATTTTCTCATTTTTTCGAGTATTTTTTAACGTAAGCCTAAACCCCCTTTCATTTTTAGCGAACACTCTCTTTCAGTCCCATCTTAAGTTGATATTATTTTTAAAAGCTAAAATAAAAAGAGAAGTATTTTAACCCTATCATGATATTTTTTCAGGATAAGGGGGAGGGGTAGGGTTAAGCTTGATAAACATACCTACTGCGGCCAATCTCTTCCCATCAGAATGATCACACGGATCTAAACTTTCGATGTTAAACATTTTACTTTATTTTTAAATCTAATTTTTTATCACCTTTGGTATCAAATGTAGATAGGCAATGAAATGCAGTCAAAACATGACGATCACTGAAAACAAAACATGACGATTACTGAAAAAATTTAATTCAGTGAAATACGCTAATTGCTCATTCAATTATCCAATCAAAAATGTGGTTAATATCGTCGCTTTTCTTACATGAACAGATTTTATTTCTAATAAGTTCTCAATTATATACATGCAGCAGAAATCCGAAACATTTGGAAAGAAACCACAATTAGAAATAATCAATTTTCAAAGTTAAAGATATTGATATCTCAATCATGCCTTGATGATAATGTCACATTATTTTGAAGTTACATGTACAGTCTCTTCACAGTCATTTTATTTTGAAATTACATGTACAGTCTCTTTACAGTCATTTTATTTTGAAATTACATGTACAGTCTCTTTACAGTCATTTTATTTTGTTTCTGTATTACATGATCGAATTTGGTCTGCGACTGAGTAACCTGGGAGTTCCTGAAGGCGGATTCAGCGTGCAAAAACCAAAGATCAGGGTCATCTGTCCAAAAATCTGGAAGCTTGACAGCCAGCTTTGCGACGAACTGCGAGGTGGGAGTGGCAGCCGGTACATCCGTCATCTTCACGAAGTAGTAGAATTAAAGTTCAGAATCACGTATCACTCGAGTACTGGAAAAATCATTGAATGTTCTTCGCTCGGGGTCACCAATTTAGAGGTCGGAGGACGGACTCTAATAAAACTCGGTTAGACTCATTCCAGTATATATTTATTGATATGACAAAACTTTGTATAACTAACTATAAATCAATCTCACGAGGCTAAGCAGAATACCGCGTTCTCCTTCTGTTGTGGAACTCTGTTTTGGAGGTCGAAACATCGTCTTCCACAACAGTCTCTTTACAATCATTTTATTTTGAAATTACGTGTACAGTCTCTTTACAGTCAGTTTATTTTGAAATTAAGTGTACAGTCCCTTTACAATCAGTTTTTTTTTGAAATTACTTGTGTAGTCTCTTTACAGACACTTTATTTTGAAATTACGTGTACAGTCTCTGTACAGACACTTTATTTTGAAATTACGTTTGCAGTCTCTTTACAGTCAGTTTATTTTGAAATTACGTGTACAGTCTCTTTACAGTCACTTTATTTTGAAATTACGTGTACAGTCTCTTTACAGTCACTTTATTTGAAATTACGTGTACAATCTCTTTGCAGTCACTTTATTTTGAAATTACTTGTGCAATCTCTTTACAGTCACTTTATTTTGAAATTACGTGTACAGTCTCTTTGCAGTAATTTTATTTTGAAATTACGTGTACAGTCTCTGTGTACAGTCATTTTTTTAAATTACGTGTACAGTCTCTTTACAGCCAGTTTATTTTGAAATTACGTGTACAGTCTCTTTACAGTCAGTTTATTTTGAAATTACGTGTACAGTCTCTTTACAAAGATTTTATTTTGAAATTTCGTGTACAGTCTCTTTACAGTAATTTTATTTTGAAATTACGTGTACAGTCTCTTTACAGACACTTTATTTTGAAATTAAATGTAAAGTCTCTTTACAGTCATTTTATTTTGATATTATGTGTGCAATCTCTTTACAATCAGTTTATTTTGAAATTACTGTGTACAGTCTCTTTAAGAATAAAGCCTAGTTACCTGATTAAGGCCCCTGTACAAAATTGAGCGGGACAGCCTCCATATATTCTGCAAATAGTTTTTTCTTCTTTTATTTCAAGTAATTGTTTTTCGGTGTTTTTTTGTGTTCTTTTTATTTTCCTCTTTTAATTTGCTTTGATTATTATCTTTTTGTTTCTTTTCATTTTTGTTTTGTTATTGTTGTTGCTACTGTCTTTTTTCTTGTTTTTGTTTATGTTTTTGTTGTTGTATTTTTTGTTTTTTTTGTGTATTTGTTGTTGTTGATTTGTGTTGTTTTGATTTTGTATATTTTTTTTTTAATTTTGATTTAAATTTTTAATTTTTTATTTAATTTTTCTATACCTTACTAGCCAAGGGTATGAGTGAGGCTCAGCAATTTCGCCTCCAATTATTCGATTAGATGTACTACAAAATATAATTTTGATTGGCGGGATTATTCGATTAGATGTACTACAAATATAATTTTGATTGGCGGGATTATTCGATTAGATGTACTACAAAATATAATTTTGATTGGCGGGATTATTCGATTAGATGTACTACAAAATATAATTTTGATTGGCGGGATTGCAACTTTCTTACATTTTATTTTGAACAGGTTTGGTGGGTGGGGCACAGACCTAGTTGTTTTTACCATGTTAAAGTTTAGTTTGGTAAGATATTCATTAATTCTTAACAAAAAAGTGTTTCTATAAATTCTTATGAAAGTTTATATTTTTCAACCAGAAACTGTTTAACTCTAAATATTGATATTTGTAGAACATCATTTTTTGAACATTTTTGTCAATAGAGTTACAGAAACTCCAAATTTCACAATTTCTGTAATTGTCGATTTTTAATTTTCTCTAATTTGAAAACTACCTGGCGCCTGGCACTAGACCACATGGACAATCACTGAACAAAAATACAATAAACAATTTGGTAAAAAAAATTAATCCCGGATTTCTTTAAAATCCGATTTTGAAGGATCATGTTTTTACTGTGATTAGTACAAAATGTTACTAGAGAAAGTAAATGAAAATAGTTAAAAGAAAGCATTTTGATCAGAAAGTGAATGTTGAGGATTTGACGAAATTGTCAAGGAGAGGCCGAAATCAAAGAGTTCGAGCCGCGGCTTAAATTTGAGACGCAGCTCAAATATGGTTGGTTCCACTTAAGATTATGTTTAATGTTTCAAGATTTAAGTCGGCGCTCAATTGAAACCAGTTTTTGGCGGATTTGAGACGCGGCTCAAATTCATTAAATTCAAACTCAGATTTAATGAATATCTGAAAGAAGTTGAACCGCGTAGACATCGTTAATCCACTTCTCTTGTACACTGGTTCAAGTTAAAAATAAGTGGTTTATCTATGCTGTCCAACTACTTTACCCTATTAATTAAATCTGGGACCGAAAATAGACTTCCTGCTGCCGGTTTAACTTTGAATTGGTGGTTCAAATTTGAACCATCAATTCAAAGTTAAAGATTAAGGACCGAATTTGAATCGGCGATTCAAATTTTAATCGGCGATACGCACTACACGTACGTACGTCACAGTCGAATGAAAATTAAGAAAGGGTCCCTATAAATGTAAATGTAAAATTTAAATTTTCTGTTTACAATGATAGATTTTTTAAGGCACATTTTTCAAATTCTTTTGGCCTGAACCAATTTCTGGGGAAATGTAATATTTCATAAATATAAAATGTGCGACAAATTATATAGTTCAGAGACTACTAAAATATGCATATTTTCACAAAATATTTTTTATTTGGAAAATGTTACAATTATTTTATATTGCATATTACGATCAAAGTATATTTACCTGAACAATTTCTTCTTAATTTCTTTAGTGCGAAACTTGACAGATGGTTTTCTTGCGCGACCCCTGAGTGGTTTAGGTTTCTTAGTAGCAGTATTGGTTCCCAGCAATAGATCAATATATTTCTCTAGATAATATTCTTCTTTAGCCTTAGCACATTCTTCTGCACTTCGTCTAACAAACGAACCTAAAATGGAAAAAATCGTGATTTTAAAATAAATATTTCAAAGCCGGAAAACAACGCAAATAGATAAATACTCAAAATCACTGCTTTTTGCCTATTATTTTCATTTTACTAAGTCTAAACGTCGTCTTTATATTACACAGTTTTCTGGTTCTTTCTTACTGTATCTATATATATAACCAGGCTTTTTTTATTTTGATCATCGATAAACCTTCCCTGGGGTCATGTGGGGTCCCACAAAAAAGTTGGGTTGGATTGGTTTAGTCGCTTTGAAGTTTATTGGATACAAACAAACAGAACTACACCATGACAGACAAGCAAAGGATACAGGGTGTCCCACAAAACATGACAGTTGGTGAATAGTTTAGAATGTCTTCTTCCATAATTTGTTAAGTTTTTTTTTTATCAATTAGATAATAATACAAATATTATATGGGAATCATGTTATTGTAAAATAGTAAAATCGGTTTTAAAGTAAAATATGTTTTAGGAAAAGATTTTTTTAACGAAATAGCTGTAAAAAGCCTTTAATATCTAATAAAGTATATGAAAGACGACTTTCATAACTATTGACCAACTATCTCTGTTTGTTATTCCGATCCCGGTTCTAAATTCTAACTCACGATTCTAAATTAAGCGGGTCGACTTTTAAAGAGATTTGAGCTGAAAACTTTAGAATGAGATATCGTTAATCCCGATTACTTAATCTGAGTATCCAATGGACACACTTTTGATTCTCCTCTTAAACCCTTCTTTCTTGGATATAGTAGAGAAAAATCAAAAAACGTTTTTTTTAAATTAAGAAAGTCCCACCGGTTCTGTATTTAATTCTATATGGCGCGCAAAATTTCAAATTTATCGGCTTCATAAATGCGACTCTGATTGGTTGAATTTTATACTTTTTTCAGGTACAAGATTAGGTTAGTCTCGATATTAAGAAAAAAAGAGGATCAAGCATTAATCTCAAAGCGCGGGTGAACAGCTTGAGTAACTATGAATACCTTGGGCAATCTAGTATTTTGATATTTTAACACAATTCTGAGAACTAAGGCGACATTTCAGCAAGCATCTTTTAATAAAATTCTAACAGTTTGCCCGAATATTGATATTTCTTAATAAATTACGAACAGATTGTAAGAGATTCAAAAATTTGTGAAAAATATAAATTTTCTAAATTTTCTAAGAAAATAATTTTAAAACGGTTGAAAAATATATATCATGATAGAAAAATCAAAACATTAAGTTTGTTATCCTTACTGGCATCATATAAACAAAAAACTAAAATTTTGCTAAAAAATAAAGAAAATAGCACAACCTTTATAAAACAGGTTAGCACAGATTTACCATTTAAAAGTTAAGAGTTTGGTTGGGGTTTATTTCCATTGGAAAATGATATACTGCAATTTTCAGAGCATACAACGATCCCTGAATAAACTTAAAACTCAGAAAGGTTAAAAGATTCAAGTCATTGCCTAAACCTTTTCTTATAAAACTATAAAGCACATGTGTTTAGCTTAAGTATATATTTAAATTATTTACAACTACTTTGCAAGGAAGTTATGGTAATTTTACTTTACAAAGAGTTCCAAAGACCATTTTCGCTACAAAACATCCCGAGCTCAGTTAGGGATGCTTTGTAGACAAAATTGGAAGAGGGAACCCGTCGTTAAGTAAAAATTTTAATTTTCCGAAAAAGAAGTTGTACACAATTTTATCTTCTTTTTATATGAAAATGCGCAATTTTTTTCACGAGCACTTTGCAGAAGAAGTGTTTATTTTATTTTTATTGTCCTAAGGGACGTTTAGTACCTTAACCTCCCTCTGTTAAGGGAATTATGGGTTGGTGATGTTGGTAAAAAGGTGGTAAAAGAAGTAATAGGCAAAATTGTAATTGGAGCCGGTAATAATGACATCCAGAGCGCAGCGAGGGATGTTTAGTTCGCAAAATTGATCGAGGGAGCCTGTGGTGAAGTAAAATTATTAATTTCCCGAAAAGTAGTTGCACACAATTTTTTATGGTCTTTTCAGATGTAAATGCGCGAATTTTTTTTACATAACAGTCCCAAGGGACGTAAAGTAACCTAACCTCCCTTTGCTAAGGGAATCATAGGTCGGTAATAATGGTCAAAAGGCGGTAAAAGAAGTAATAGGCAAACTTGTCATTGGATTTTCCCGGCCGTGAGGGCTTACAATTTTTGGACCTGAACCCTCTGTTTACCTGTGTGTACTAAGAGAGTCCACACTATCAAGAGCCCATTATTCATCTTAATTCTGAAAAAAAAACTTTTACATTAAAAATAAATTCGTTTTTCATAACAATTGTCGAATTTTACAAATTGTGTACACTGCAAAATAAACCCATGTAGAATGTTTTGCAACAGACAAATTTTTTTGTCTGCATGATTAATACAGTTTAGTAACTATATACAATTAATACTTTGATCTAGAGTTTGTATTTTAATCAGATTGAATTTAATTTTGTTACGTCTATAATAACAAGGACTAGAAATAAACTAGTTTTATTGCTGAAGTAATTATTCATAATCTTCAAAACAAGAACTTAAGGATTTGAATAGAATTTAAGGAAAGAAAAATGCATTGAGGAAAAGATGCTGTATCGAATTAATTTAGCCATGTACAAGGACCATCACAAAACGTTGCACATTTAATTTTTTTACGCAGTTGTTATACCCGAGAAGCTTGAAATCAACTTTTTAGGTTAAATGGATCTACGTCAACTGCAAAATTTTCAGGCCCGTAGCCAGAATTTTTCCAAGAGGGGGGGGGGTGCAAAGAGGGGTGTTGTAGTATGGTCCCAGGATCACCGAGTGAAATATAGTAAAAGAGCTTGGATTTTATGTTATGTAGATTATTTTATAATTTGTCAACAACACTAGTAATCTTAGCTTGAACTTAATGTTACAGTGAAATTTTCCCTGAACTTCATTATACATAGACAATTTTCATAATTTACTTTTTATTTCAAATTTAACAATTTTGGACGACGGAAAATACCTAGTACTTTTCTTTTGCCTGTGAATTAAAAAAATTCACAGTTCAATTTATGATCATGGTTTATAGATTTGCTAAACAGGGTTATTCACGAAAAATAAGACTTTAGACATTATAAAAAGTGAACAAAGGTAAATTCAAAAGATTTAACTGCATTGTACATTTTTATTTAAACATAGGCCCAGCAAAGTTTTTTTTTAGAAATTACATGTTACACTTACGCATCATTTTTGTGAAAATTTTATGCTGAATTCAAATGAGCTAGAGCCAAAATTTCTTGGACTCATTAAATTTTTGATATTTTTCTAATGGTTTCAGAATTTGAATTCAGAGTAAAATTTCCAAGAAAAGCATGTATCGATGTATATCGATGTATCGTAAAAGGTATGAAATACTCTAATGATTTATGCCATCCCCAATTTTCATGAACATTCACTTAAATTAATACACTTTTATTGCTTTGATTTACATTAGTGACTATCTCTAGAGTTACAGGAATGTTTTATTCCCGTAAAAGATTATTTTTATATCTCTGGAGTTACAGGAATGTTTTATTCCCATAAAAGATTATTTTTATATCTCTAGAGTTACAGGAATGTTTTATTCCCATAAAAGATTATTTTTTTGTGAATAAAAATAGGCTTCTCAAAAAAGTCAAAAAAAAAAAATTCAAAAAAAAAATTGCAAGCGTTATATTTGCAGATGTTTTGTTTATTTTTGCTCGAAAATTTTTTTTCCTCTCCTGTTTAAATATACGTATCATATTACAATTGTTTCACACTTTAATTAATACTGCATAAAAAAACTAAAGTAAATAAATCCACACATGCCAGAAATTTTTAAGAAAGGAATTGAGTCTTGAAAACAAACTGTATAATTCATAAATCTTTGCAACACAATTTCGTGGACCTTTGATATTTCAAACCATTAAAGTATCAAAGGTTTAAACCACTAGGTTGCAAATAAAAAGGGATTAGAAAATTAGAGTTTGTTGTAACTACTTTTTCAATAAAATGATACACTCAGCTGAGCCCAGTAAAGTGCTTTAATTAGTTATAATTGTCACCAAGGGTTTTGAGATATAACTAATAATTACAAACAAAATTAAAAATTGCGCCCTTGACATTTTAACTAAAAATTTCGTAACAGAACGACTTTAAATTTTTCTTTGTCCACAAGTTCTGACTGTACTGTACTGTACTTTACTGTACTGCACTGTACTATACTGTACTGCACTGTACTGTACTGTACTGTACTGTACTGTACTGTACTGTACTGTACTGTACTGTACTGTACTGTACTGCACTGTACTGTACTGTACTGTACTGTACTCTGTACTGCACTGTACTGTACTGTACTGTACTGCACTGTACTGTACTGTACTGTACTGTACTGTACTGTACTGTTCTGTACTTTACTGTAATGTACTAAACCATAATGTATTGTACTGTACTGAACTGAACTGTACTGTACTGTACTGTACTGTACTGTACTCTACTGTGCTGTATATCTGTAACGTACTCTACTGTATATATATTATATGTACTATTTTTAGTGATATTATCAAAAATTCCTAATTGTAATCTAATTTTACCAAATTTAACAAAAAACTTACGCTATGCGGACATTGAACCAAAGAAGGTATACATTACAATTAAGGTCGTTAATTGTAATGATTGTAATAATTGGTCGTTAATTACTCCAATATTCTTTAAGTATGTATCAATCCAGATACAACTCTCTCTGTATTCTCAAGTATGTATCAATCCAGATACAACTCTCTTTGTATTCTTAAGTCTTCATTCATATTTTTTTTTCAAATACAAAGCATGAGATATTAAAAATAAGCAATTACAATTTACTATGCAGTTTGGACCCCCTAACCAGGGTCGGTTGTTTTGAGCTGTATGTATAAAATGCCTTTTTTTTGACGACGAAATGTGCACCCTACAGAAGGTGGGTGGTGAGGATAGTAAAGGTCGGAGGGTGTTATGAATGCCAGAAACAAGCTTAAAACATGTGATTTAATGGGAATCGATACCCATATCCCACCCTTGGAGTTGAATCTGATGGCAACTACCCTTACTACCCCAACTACCGTCTGTTTTTTTAAAGAGACCCATCCCCACTCTGTGTTCATTCTATGCGCATGGTATACAATATGGGTATGGATTCCCATTAAATCACATGTTTTAAGCTTGTTTTTGGCATTCACAACACTCTCCGACCTTTACTATCCTCACCACCCACCTTCTGAAGGGTGCACATTTCGCTGTCAAAAATAAGGCATTTTATACGTTCACTGTTTTGAGTGGTTAGCCCGAAGTTAATTAACGATACCGAATAGATGGATGGTGGATACAGAAACAAAAATAAGCTAATAAAGTTTAAGTTTTTTTATATAAAATTTATTCACACGAAATACAACAAGGTTTTTAGCATTTAAACCTCGCATAATTCTCAAGATAAATATTGATCTATTTGTTTAAATATTTTTCAGATTTAGTTTTAAGGTCAATTCCACAAAATAGGAAACATTGCTGACGGAAAGCTTTCTAGATTTTTGTTTAAAACCTGTCGTTTATTTAGTAAGAAACTATCGCTTTTTCAAAAATCTGTTCGAAAAAAATCTGTTATCCAGGTCTGTTCCAACAAAATCGTTTGTTCTGTAAAAAACATTCATTTTTTTCCAAAACGTTTGGAAAATTCGTTTGTTCACTAAATAAAACCATACTTTTTAAGTTCATTCGCACGATTTTAAACCGTTTTTTTTTCTTTTTTTAAAAAAAACGATCATTTTTTAATTTCTCTGAACAATCCTTTTAGTTCGTTTTTTTCTCCGAACGATCGAAGGGTACCCTTTACGAAAAATTTCGTTCGTTCAAAAAACAAGTGAGTGAGTGGGTGAGTGAGGATGGGAGTGAGTGAGTGGGTGAGTGAGGATGGGAGTGAGTGAGTGGGTGAGTAAGGATGGGAGTGAGTGAGTGGGTGAGTGAGGATGGGAGTGAGTGAGTGTGTGAGTGAGGATGTGAGTGAGTGTGTGAGAGTTTGAGTGAATGTGTGTGTGTATGTGAGTATGAGCGTGAAATCGCTTGATGACTCCTCTCAATAAACATCTGCAGTTTTCACACTTACTGATGAATAATCCTCCTTCTCTGGTATCCCCACCATCTCCCCCCCCCCTCCTCCTCGAAACTAAGACCCCCTCCTATCCTCCGCAAATTGCTTTTATATCAAGCGTTGTATCTTTAATCATCTTCTAGTATTCTTTATCCTATATTTTTACTTTAGCACAGGGTTACCAACACAGGATGAGACTGTGAAGACGACTTCTAACTCTTTAAAGGGAGTGTTTGCGAAAAATGGAAAGGGGTATAGGCTTAATGCGATAAAAAAATGTTTATAGTCATCGATTATCTTTCGCCACATTTTTAAATAGTTTATATTTTATAATATTTTTTAACTAATTTGTTTTGAATTTGATTATTTCTCTTGTCGCTTGCGCAACTATCTAAGAATGCCGCACACCACTCACATTTTTCGAAATCCGTTAAAAACGTTTTCTTAAAAAATAAAATTTAAAAAAAAATTGATTAAAAAGTATTATAAAATATAAACTATATACAAATGTTGCGAAAGATAATCGATGACTATAGGTTGTAATATCAGAATGATTTGTTTGAAATTAAATTGATTTTTTTACGGTCCAAGTCGTATGTTACAATTTTCTCAATTTGTATGGGCGCTACGTTCTTCGGTATGAGACGTCTTTAACAATTTTCTCCTTATAGACGCAACAGATAGAAATAAGATTAGTAGCGATCAAAAGCGCTTTTTTATCGCATTAAGCCTATACCCCCTTTCATTTTTCGCGAACACTCCCTTTAAGTATGACGTTATTCTAAGGTAAATTTAAGTCTTGGTGCCTTGATTATCAAATGAAAGAAGTTACAATTGCACGGAGTCTTGAATATAAGGAAACATATATATACAGTATAAATTCCATACATACGTCTATGAAGTCTCTGCAGTCTCATCCTTTGTAAGTAACCCTGTTTAGAGCGTTCCATCATATTAGATTATCTCCAATCTTGAACGCCAAAATACGCACATAATACTAGAAAAATCTAGCATTTTCTTCAAAAAAAATCTATTAGCCTTATTATATTTTTTAAAATGATTTATTCTTCTTAAATTTTCTAATTTGTCACCCAAATCGTAATTTAGATCCATCGATGCGGTCTAATTTAATGTGGGACTCCCTGTCTAT